TTACAAAAATCGATTTACATTTACTACCAGTTCCCAAATCAAGGGGGTAGAGCGAGAAGAATTGGCGAGAGTTCTCTTTCACTGCTTTTAAAACAGACAAATACGTTGTTTTAAAGTGATTGTTAAGGCGTAAAAGACTCTGGTTTTGTTATACTTCATACATTGGACTTAAACTTCTTTTGATAAAGTTCATCCGAGGGCACAGCGGTATCTCTTGGTTCTCATTAGTAAAACATGCCAAGTACTTTGTAATAATAATACCTACTCAACCAAATGATTTACCCCCGTATTTAAGTTTATCTATCTCCTTTCATCACATCATAAACACACTTTGTCAGAAAGAAACAGAATAATACTTTCGTTAAGAGTTTAATTGGAGCAGTGTTGGCTTCAGCGTGCCCTGAGGTCGTAAGATCGATCCCCGGCTGTGCACCAATGGACTTTCTATGGAAGAAGGATCACCTACTTGCCTATTAGATTAACAAATGATCATGAAACAGATACAGAAATCTGAGGCCCAGACCTAAAAAGGTTGTAGCGCCATTGATTTATTATTTTTTTTAAGAGTTAAATTAGACTCAATTTTTATAGATCAGGGGCGAACGGGCAGAATGCTCACCTGATGTTAAGATCACCCGTGCACACTGTCAATCCCAGAGGCGCGCGAGTGTGTTTTAAGAATTGGTACGCTCTTTTCTTGAAGAACGTAAGTCAAATTGGTTTGTAAACGCCTCAACTTCTGCTGGTGCTGCAGCTGGTTCCACATAGCAAAAAACTCTGTAGTGTAACTACGGAGGTCGAGGTTATATGAGGAATTTCATATGCTGTCTCAACATCAACGCTTGGCTAGCGTAAAAAATATAATATCATTCATTTTCTATAGCGTTGGCAAGCTTTTATAAATAAATATATAATAATAATTTTAAAGGCCAGCAACCCACTAGCGAGCTCTCTGGCAATTAGATGATGTCTATTGGCGGCGGAATCACTTTACATCAGGTGAGCCTCCTGGCTGTTTGCTCCCTGTAACATAAAAAGAAGACGTGTGGTAGGATATACCTGTATTAGCGGGATTAACACGTTTTCGTAGTTTAAATCGTAAATTAGGCATTAAACTATGTTCTGACTAATAGCGAATCCGTTCGCTAAATTGATTCTAACAAGCCGGCACTGACTGCATACTTTAATATCCAAGCTACGAAACACTATGCTGAAACTGACGCATTTTTACTATTACTTCCACCTATATTACTCAAGGTCTTGGAGACCAGATAGCCCCTGTCTGAATTAATTCTAAGAGTCAACTCAACAAGTGCATTGCACGTGGGGAAAACATTTTCACTCACATCCCTTACCAGTAGCTTTGCAACCCTCGCGAGGTGTGCACGCTTTATAAATTTTATCGTGTAATTATCCTGTTACTGAAGAACGAATATGGGTGAGTAATTTACAGTTTATTCTTATTATTATATATTTATATATACATTATTTTGATACGAGATTTTTTTTAGTTTGGTCACTAAAAGTATCTAAAGGGGCATATATATTTTAATCTAACCTAATGTAAACAGTTATAGTGTTATACACCATTATTTTAACTCATGTTATGCATAATTTTAAAATATCTATACTTAATTTAATATTAATCAGATTTTTTGTTGTTGAATGTTTGGTTCACCGCTATAATCTCAGGACTAGATTGAGTTCAAGTTTGTATAGGATAGTCAATTTATTAAAGCTGGCTGTGTAATATTAAGATATGGGACTGAATTAATGGGCTGAAACCGCACCTTTGTATTAGTTAAATAGCAGCATTATAGTAGGTAAGCTAAACTATTTAAAAATGCTTGCATCCTATTAATAACTAATAATCAAAGTCCGAAAACTAAATGCACATTTAAATATAAGAGGGGTTAAATGCCTCTTATTTTTACCTATATTTAGATACAATTATTCTTTTTATACTGCTATATAAATGTACAAAATTAGGTAAAGTTTGTAACATTTAACTAATTGTGGTAATCTATACAGTGTAAACTATTTATAACGAAATTTCACTTTTCTTCGTTATAGAGACGTTTCGTTATAGGGAAAGAAAAAAAAAACAAAATATAACCAAATACAATAATTTATATACAGGTTGGCCAAAAAGTCGTGGATCAAACGCAAATAGGGGTAGATGAGGTCATTAGCGGCAAAAAAATTTTCTACGGGAGGTCTCTAAGGTCAACCCCTGCAGAGTTATGATTTGTTTTGGTTTTTATATGAAAATTGACTTTTTTTAACTAATTCTTATTAAAATTCGAAAATATCTTCATTCTGTATCTTTTCCATAATATCCACTAGATTGGTACTGATGAGTTCTTGCGTTAGACATACTATTTATAGTTGTTTATTGAGTGTATTGAAGATAATATTAAGATATACGATATAACATTTTTTTCAAATCATAACTTTTTGTTTACTTCGGACCCCACTGTGAAAAAAAATTACTCTACCGAAAAGTGACCCTGTATTACAAGTTTTGGCGCATTTTATAGGGATTCTGAAAAGGTATTACACATGGCAATGAGAGGCTCAAATATCTTTCTAGGTCGAAAAAACAACAACGATTCGGTCTTATGATATATTATTTACCTACCTGTGACCAGTGCTGTGTGAATCGGACTAGATTCAAAAACGGATGTTTATGAGCTCAGGTGCCTTTTTAGAAATTTCGGCACCTCATTAGGTCAGTTTTGTTAAGTATGTTATTGATATCTAAATATGAAAATATTTCTTCGTAATAGAGACTGGTTGTAGTGTTATAAAGAGTGTATTAATCTATGGGTTATATAACAAACCAACCAAATTGTAGAATTTTTACGTTATAGAGAGCTTTTCGTTATAGCCAATATTAAACGTTATAAAGAGTTTACACTGTACTTAAAAGCGACTGGATTACAATTATAAACTATTCCTTAGTAAGACTACATTGATGTCCAAAATAATATGTAAAAATGTAACTGCCTAGTTCATGAATGCAAAACTAAATCTATTTTTACTTAAGTACTTCTGTGTATTTTATTCATTAATGTAGAGTACAACTTCCAGTGTAGAGTTTTTAGAGCTACTATAATAATAATGGTTATGACAATAACGGTAAAAGCATCGTAAGGTATATGATAGAGTAAATGTAATCAAAGATATATTGCAAACTCAAAGGTAAACGCCCGTTTTTAATTCCTTAATTACGCTGTCAATCCAAGTTTATTAAGCGATTTAAAGGTTATTCAAATTATCAAATAAATAATAAGAGTATTTCTCAAAAACACTTATGAGTTCATTTGCTTCTTGACGTTTGTTATTGATCTTTTGCTTTTTATTGCTGAAAAGTACTTAAAACTCGTATGATAATGAATTCGCATCAGTAGATATTAAAGAATACTTATAATAAATTATATCCGTTCTTTTAATATTACATATACAAAACAATATAATTATATTAAAAATACAGTATTTACAATTTTCTTAACCTATAAAGTAATAATAAAAATAATTAATGAAGAAAGAAGAAAATCAAAACAAATTTAAAAAGTTTGGTCCCTGTGGCAGTGTACCTTTAACGCTGGCAGCATTTCCTCGCTGTATTGGGAGACTTATTCTTTGAGCCAGGAAAGTGCCAGCTCTGTGGTCACCGGTACTATCTACCAGGCCCCAACTTAAATCTTTAATAAGCGCCTGTGCACTTGAACCCCACGGCCCAAGAGTCTCTACTCCAAAGGGAACAAAATTGAAGTTGGAGGAAAGACTCTTATATTTGTGCTGTTTGTTAATTTCTGCCTGTTCTGCGGCCGCGCCAGCTTTTTTTGCTTGTCCGAAGGAGATGAGACGGGGCAAAGGTGTCTACACAGGTAGCATCCCATACTAAAGCCCGTCCCATGTTTGTTATTTAAAAATATGTTTAAAATGTTGTCCTAGCTTTTCCTAACTAAATACCGTTAGATTGTAATCTATCTCGCGAGATTGTATGTAGAAAGACGCAAAAATACACATTTAGAGGAAAAATAATTTAATGTAGAAATGTGAAAACACAGTATTACACTCAAAAAACGTCATTATAGCCCATAACACTTTAGAATAATGTAGCTTGTTTTGGTGAGATGATTTTTGTAATAGCTTCTGTAAAAATGTTTTATAAACCTTGTACATACCCTAAATATATAAATATAGGAATAAACTAAAAATAAAACAGTGTTATAAAAATAATATAAACTTGTTATATCAGACTATGCCCTCAATGCCACATCTAGTAAAAATCAAATTCGAACATCCTTGTTTTGCTTGGTTGACTGATCAAGTTTATTATGTCTACCCACATTTTTGGTGCTGTTCTGTTTTGTTATTTTATGTATGTACCTACATCTGTGCGCTCTAATTTTTAATATCAGTTTTAAATATGTGTTTCTCAGTAAGTGAATTTTGTATGTAATTCTTATGAGAAATAAAGTTATTCTTCAACGTAATAGCTTCTTAATTCCAGAGATTACTTCCCAAAAAAAATTGTAATTTATAAATTCTACCAGCTGTGGCGCTATACTTGTTAATACTTGTTAGTTATGAATTTAAGTTATTACCACGAGAATTTTTACCATCTTTGTGGCAGGACATTGACTTGTTTGTGGTATGAAAGTTAGAGACGGAGATCGAGAGACCAGTTTCCGATACGCCGATGTGCTTTCCGATGCCTTACAAAATTTCAGCCGCAAACAGTAGTTTTTTTTAAATCCTTTCTAACACTTATCTAACTATTTTTCGCGCCCAATGATGTTTGACCTTACATCAAGAGTGCGCAATGTGCTGGGCGGCACGAGGCTGAAAGGATTTGATGGAACATACTATGAATTAGGAAAATAGATCATATAGGGGGAAGAAAGGAGAGAATTCCGTGATAGTAATACCTATTACCACGAAAACCCCCCATCTTTTACCGTTGGGGCAGGCCATTGACTTTTTGTGCTATGAAAGTTAGAGACGAGGATCGAGAGACCAGTTTCCGGTACACTGATGTGCTTCCCGACCTCATAGAAGACACCTTACAAAATTTCAGCCAGTTCCACAAACAGGAATGTTACATTTTGAATTTTTTCAACCAACTGGCACCAGTTCCTGTTCCAAAACAGCAATCCAAATCTCGCTAAATGTTACCGTTTAGCCGGACCATTGAATATTTTCGAACGTTGTGACTCCTGGACTTGCCTGATTTTCCTCTACTTTTGGACTCTCTATACGAAACCTTAAAAATTATCCCCTACTCCGTTTCCCTCGATTTGGGTTGCCTGGAAGAAATCGCTTGTTGGCGGTAAGGCCACCCGTTGCCTCATAACTGTAACCTGCTTTTTTATATGTATGTTTTTGTATAAGGTAGTGAAGTGTGAATAAATAATATGAAGTCCCGTAGCACGAGCTGACATAGGAGTATCGCGTGTCTGCTTATGTGCCCAATATATTCCTCGACTTTTGTGACTGACATTCCGGTCCTAAAGCGGCTGCTTTCCTCATTATTTTTTTAAGTGTTATAAACTAACACCACGTAGTTTATACAAGTATTCTGTAACTGGTTTTTTCTGGACTTAGTGTCATATAGTTAATATGGTCCAAACATCAGTAAATCGGTGCTACCTTGTAAATCATCATCTAAGATAATAATAATTCTTTAACTGTATAGATATGAAATTTGCATAAAATTGAGTATACAGCCTACGTCAACGAATATTATTGAAAATAGCGAAATTTATTTAGATTTCAAAAAGTAATTGTTTTATAAATCCAAAAAAACGTTTAATTTGATTAAACGTTTTGTTTAGTTATAATCTGTAACGAAACATGTTCATGCAGCATCTTTTAACGCACGCGAAACGTCGGTTAAATTTAAAATTATGTAAAATAATTGTAAATTTATAATAAAACATAACTCCGTTAAAAAAGTGTTTTTCTATGTCTAAAAGTTATGTGAATAAAAGACAATACTAAGCATCTTTTAATTGAAATAGAGAACACATATAATATCGATATTTAACTCTTAACAATATAAGTTTCTATACTTCACAATTTTAACGCCTGGCAAAAATAAAATGACATAATTTTTGCCAGGCGTCATTTTTTTCTTATAAAAGAAATCGGATTAAAAGCACCTGCTGCTAGTCCATTTTGGGGCATAAGGGACGTAAAGCAAAGACTGTTCCTCCATCTGAATAATTTTATTAATTGAAATTTCGGCCTTAACTAGTCATTTGTTCCAGACTCTTCGGTAGTCAAGAGCGAAGAGAGTCTGCAATGTAGACCCAAGTTTCGAGCCTGGTGTCAAACCCGACGCTGTCAACTCTGGCGTCTTCTCCTACTGCCTTTCATACCAATTCTGGCCCTGATCGTTCAGACAACACTATCGCTCAAGAACAGTCTCACTAATGGATTGGAGGTTGCTGATGTTGAAGAACAGGTATGCAACTAAATATGTAGCAACTTCAATCAGCAGGCGACCGAAGTCTGAATTAATCGAATTAAATTCAAATGTACACTTACAATATACAATTAATTTCAGATAAAGCGGGCGATCGTGACGTGGAATTAAATAAATAAATTAAATAAATGGAAATTTAAATTATTGATCACAAAGATTAAACCAAAACGTAATTTTTGATCTATTTCAATATACAAGATAATAAAATAAGATTTGTCTATAAAGATAAATAAAACACGAAATAAAATAGAAAATATATAAAGACAATCGCTAAGCACAGAGTTCCATTTCTGTAATAGCTTAAGCCCATAGTTTATGGGTTAAGGAGTCCGTTTTTTGATACACGTGGTCGATTTTTGCCCTAAAAGCTCGTTTACGCCGGAACAACAACGTGCGACAGTGCCGCATGCTACATAGAAAGCATTTGCGGAATATGTGGCATACGGCAGCATATTTTACGCCGAGGCAACATCGTGCCTGGATAATTTCCAAAGCATTGCGCTGTTAATGGAGTGTTACTGGTCTACCAACTTGTTTGATACACGATAGAATGTCAAATGAGGACCTTGAGGATGTTTTAAAAATGGTATTTTTATTTATTTATTTTTGTAAGTCTTAATAATTTACGTTACACCACTCCATGTCCGAAAATTCTCACTTTCCAAATCAAGTACAAACAAGAACATAACTGTTCTTTTTTGACGCACGAAAAATATCGCATGGAATCCATTGTGCCTGGATACAAGCTGCGAGAGTCTGCCACATGACGCAAGGTGTTGTCGTGCCGCACGCTTCTTGCCAAAATGTGCGACATTTTTAACTTTGTAGAATGCGGCCTTGTGGCATGCCGCATTGCCGCACAGTGTTGCCACTTGCCCCGGTGTAATATAGGCTTAATATTGCCTTAACACATGCCAGTCTCCACGAGAAGTTATTCCCCTCGACAAATTTCGTTCGTTGCTCCCGAATTTTTATTGTTATCTCAGAACAGAATAAAGAGAAAAGGCTAAAGGTAATTAAATATAAGTTTCTGAGTTTATAGTCAAATCTTTGTCGGGATTCTATGTCAGGCTTCTTGGGAAAAATATAAACTAATTAACGATGCTATACAAAAAAACGTATGTCAATGTACACGCGTTGGAAGTTATACTTCTTTGGCGTAATAATTTTCTTCGAGCACTTTAGAGGGACGTTTCCCTCTTCGAATTGCATTTTTCTTGCATTTCAATGGTCACTTTAGATCAAAACGATATAATATATACTAATCATAATATTTTACTAAACACTATGCTTTTTATTACATTGGAAAGGGTTACCTCGTATAGAAATTATTTTAGTTTAAATAAACAAGACTGAAAAACACTACGCCATTACAGACAATGCAACTTATCGATAAAACTGGACAAAGGCCAACTAGCGGCCCAGACTGTTTTACCGACTTTTAAACAGATGTTCAGGGAGTCGGTTGTGCGCGCGCGCGTCGTAAAAATTTACTCTCATCATTTTTCCCTAACGCGCCAAAAGAAGTATAACTTCAACAAGGGACTTTAATAAATACCAAAATGTTTGACTGAATCAGTACTCTATCATCGAGAGTTGAGAGACGGTATTTTTTTTTAATTCACCTTTTTTAAGCACAAGAGAAGTAAATAACGTTTTAAAAATTATTACAAAAAGATTTTCCTCTTAAAAGTTGTAATGACGTGATCTAAAATTGGTTTTTGCGTGGAAAATTTATTCACGTCAGCTTCTGTTGTACTGACAGTTTAACACGAATAATAAATTATAGTCGGAAGACAGGATTAGTGATTTTTTTATTTTGTAGTCTATTATTATAACTATGAATAGACGTTATTTAAAATGACGTATGAAAATAAATACATCTAAACGAAACGAAGTACCTGAAAATAGGGTCTACGTTTCACAATTTTTTATTATAATGTGGTGTACATAATACAACAAATCTGACATATTAATCGATACGGGGAGTAAACCATGACAGCCTTCAAAACCACCAGAACATAATTTTTTTTTTTTTACTAAGTATTCATTACATTCCTTTTCTTTCTTTTTTTGCGACTGAGGCGCAAACTAGCCGCTGTGGTCTCTGGCAGACCAGCGCTGTGGAACATTCTGCTCCTCAGCATAATGCTGAGCCAGGGCCAATTACAACCACAGCACACACGCATAACACACTTAAAACGAACCGAATGGGAAAATTGATTTTTTATATTTTTTTTTATTGTTTTTGATCTCTCATTTAATTTTTCTTTGATTTTTTTATTTTGTGTGTTTGTGTGTGTGTATTTTTGTTAGTACTAAATGTTATGTCTATATGTCTAAAAACAACTCATGGCTAAAATTCCTATAATTAAAATACGTAGAACAAAGTTACTCGAACGAAAATTCTTTAATCTATGTTTTTAAATGAAGCTACAATGTCACGTCGTCGTCACGTGTCTATGGCCGAGAGGTTCATGAAAATTTATAACATCAATACTATTTCCATTGAACTTTTCTTGATTAGAAACTTTTAATTTCACCCTTGATTGCTCAGCAATGTATTGCTCGGAATTTATATTGCAAGATTCTTTGATATCTCTGATCACTAAAATGAGTCACAATATTATACGTGATTTTTGCGTTTATATTGCTCTATTAGTTCACTGCTCTCGTACTTTAGTGGTTGACGAACATAAATTTTAACCTTTGAGGTCGTGATTTCGACTTTTGTGACCATCAATCCGAAATAACTATGTCCTAAACAGCCACTACGAGCCCCGATGCAAAATAGTTCGTCTAGTATGGAAATTATTGCAAAGCGTGAAATATAAAAAGTAAATGTAATTAAGAAAGTTAAGTAAAATGTAAACCACAATTTGGGGAACATTTTAAAGTTGATTTTAACATAACTGAAGTTCTTTCATGACTTTACATTACATAAAAAATTTAAAAAAATATTCTTACAAACATAACGCAAAATAGTTCTTCTACCACTTAGTTGTGTCACATTTGCTCTCAATGGCAGCTTTAATGCGAAGAGGCATTGCAACCAACGCTGCATACTCCTCAGGCGTAATTGACTCCCAGACAGCCAAGAGTTTAGTCTTTAAGTCGCTCTTCGATCTTGATGGATTTTTACGGAGAACTTTTTTCATTTTCCACCATAGGGTTTTGATCGGCGACAAGTCCGGGCTGTTAGATGGCCATTCGATTGTAGGGATGCCCGTATTGCCTTGCAATTCGATGACAGATTGTGATTGTCTAAATACGCGTTATGGGACTTTTATTAGCAATAATAACAAACCCATAAACCAGTCCCAGATGTACCAAACCCCTCCTTCCCCACGCTGGAGGAAATTGGGACTTAGGGTAACAATAATTAATTTTATTATTTATGTTTACGATTCATATATATGTGAATATTATTACAATGTTTTACTGTGTACAGGTTAGCAGAGCAACTGAGTTGGGAAAGTTGGTGACGAGATTGCAGCAAGAGAGATCTGAAGTTGCGTTCTTCATCTTCACCAATGGAAGTACATTAAGGTGCGAGTCATTTAAGTACATCAGTGGCCAGTGAAAAGAAGGGTGAAAATGTGAAACAAATGATGGTGCTTTTTATTGAGATTGGTCTACGGCGTCACACAATCACAGCTATACTATCAATGTTTTCGTTTGACTAAACATAACAAACGAAGCGCAATTAATTCTTAGTTCTTTCGGTAAAATAATCTATGACTTATAAGGCTGTCTGAGGGCCAGTTGTAGCGCCACTGGTTTTCGAAGTTATGCTTCTTTAGGCGCGTTATGAATAATTGAAGAGAGTGAAATTTTTTTTATAGAATAGGGCAAACGAGTCTTCGAGACGCCCCAAAAGCTTTGTCATCGCAGGGCATGGACTCCCCCGTTTTGTTATATAATTATTTTTAATACAGTTTTTTATTTATTTATATTTTAATTTATATTCTACTCTTTTTCTGTAATTGTGAGATTGTACCATTAGGAGAAAAGAGTAGAAAAGTCGCGCAAAAGCACAGAAGCAAAAGACCTAAGGATATATTAAATATCATTAATTTTACAAAACAATTCTAAGGTCTAATTTTTTTTCGTTCACATTCGACAAAGTGAAATAGATTATTTTTATTTGTACAGATCGAACCTTACACAGCGCTTTGAGGCGACAGACAACGCGCTCCTACAAATGGGCGACTTACCACCTCTTATGTTCAAGAACAGACTGAAACCGATAGATGGCGCAGCATTTTTACAGGAATTGTCAGAACTAAGGTAAGTTATTTAGCTTAGGTTAAAAAGGATAAGATGGATTCGTAATTTTTGGATTTAATTTAACCGAGAGTTTAATCGTCAAACTTATTATATTTGAGGAGGTAACTTTCAAAACGTGATATGTCACAAAGTAAAAAAATAAAATATAAATTTTATATTTAGATTATTGCAGTACTAACTATATTAAGGAGAGGAAACATTTGTATTTTTTTTATAAAAACTGAAATATTACTGGACTGATTTTAAAAATTATTTCATTGCTAGTTGAATACGAGTAAAAGTATTTATACCGAGGAAAGCTTTAGGCTATAGAACATCGTGCTACGTCCGAATTATTGCGGTTTAAAAAATCATTCAAATCGGTCCAGCCGTTTAAAAGGAGTTCAGTTCACACACGTGCAGTAGAATAAAATATATATATGTAAGCTATCCTATCTTTTAAGTTAGATGAAACTGCACAGTGCACACGGTGTGCAAATTTGATTGAAATCGGTTCAGTAGTTTAGGAATCCATAACGGACAAACAACGTGACGCGTAATTTATATATATTAAGAGATATATTATAGTAAATTCTCACTGTCAAGTTCCTTATTTTTAGTAAGCCAACGCTTGAACTTGATTGGATAATATAAAATCCAGGTGTCAGAGATCAATTCCACTTAATACAAATCCAACTATTAGTTACAATCACGGAAAACACAAACAAAGTGCCGTAGAAATAAGCTCTTTTATAGACCTCTGAGGTTTTAAAACGCAATATAGGTCACAATACTAAGGTATATTGATTAGAAATGTTTATTGAGGTAGTATTTTGTGAAGACTTCTATGGCTTAGTGGTTGACGCACATGATGTGTAAACGGAAGTCTTTTGGTCCCAAAAATGGTTTCAACCTCTAGATTCCTATCACCTCAACGTCCGTAGATCCACAACTGAGCGTTTCTTAAGGCAGTTTTTGCCGCATACCACCGCTATGTGGAACCAGCTGCCCACAGAAGTATTTCAAGGTCGCCTTAGGGTCCTTCAAACATACAAATATCTCTAATAATGTAAATCATTCTCGACACACACAACAAAATTCATCAAAATCTCTCCAGCCGTTTAGGAATTTAATTACGAACACATTACAGAAGACACACATTACAGCACAGAAGATTTATATATCAACCAGCTGTCTTTTTGCCGTTTAGATAAATAATCTAGATACCGCTGCACCATCTGCCGGGCTGATTTGTGAATCTAAACCAACCAGGGCGCCACCCAAACGCATAAATAAATCATTCAAATCGGTCCAGCCATTTAGGAGAAATTCGGTGGCATACACACGTACAGTAGAATTATATTTATAAAGATATGTCATAGCAAATACTAACGGCCTATAACTTCGCGTTATAGAAGTGCCTTTAAAAATCTAATCAGTTATACAATGAAAATTGACGCTGAATATAGTCTAAAGCACAAAATCGCTACACACTGAAATAATCTTATTAAAAGTTAATATAAACAATTAAATAATATAACACGATTTGTTATAATAATAATATTTTATATTTGAACACAGCCATTACTACTTTTAACATTTACAAGTTTATTAATAGAGTTAAAATTCAATCTTACTAATGAGTAATTACCAATAAACTCAGATACAGTAAACTTAATAAAGATCGAGCGATACAAACTTTGTCGCGACATAGACTGATCACCGCGCGCGAAAAATTTTGATTAATTTTAAATCGTATTAATTTTCCATTAGCACCTGTGGACTTATGTATTATATTAAAATACGCTCTTGCTTATTATATATTATAGACTCTAGTCTATCATATGGATATGGATATCATGTATATAGGAATCGTCAGTGAATATAAATCTTATAAATATAGTATTGTATAGTAGCTATTTGAGTGTATTGAGAAACGAGTTAATAAAAATGACCCCGAAAGTAATTTAAAAAAACTCATTGACAAGTTTCAAACAGTTAGTAACCCTTAACTTATATATTCCTGTGTATTCACAAAAGAAAATATTTATTGAATTCTCTTTTAGATACTCATATTAATCAAAACATACACTTTTTTCAAATGACTTAGCCTTTTGGCCTAGTCCTACGTATTTCAATATATTTTTGTGGCTACAATCAATATAATTAATAGTTCGCGCTAGCAAGACTTTATATACAGCTAAAGTTACACAATTCAGTTAAACAATAATTTCATAATCGGACGTTGAGTCAAAATACGAAATTCCTCAACGTCCGTCGTTCTACAATTGAGCGTTTTTTAAGGCAGTTCTTGCCGCACCACCTCTATGGAACCAGCTGGCCTCTGAGGTATTTTCAAACCAATTCGACTTAAGAAAAAGAAAAGAGCGTACCAATTCTTAAAATTCCGGCAACGTACTCCCAAGCCCTTTTGTATTGGAATGTCAATAGGCGGTAGTATCACTTAACATCAAGTGTGATACAATAAACATCACTGCTTGTATTAAGAACACTTTTATTTTAACTATGTTATTACGGTTGACATTATCGTATCGCAGAAATTCGCATCACAAATTCCTGCGATGCAAATTCGCATCGCATCGCATCGCAGTTTTATGTGGGAGTCCTATATACAAGAATAATCAAAGTAAAAATACAAAAGAACGTGCAGTATTTTATTGAGAACACGGCATTTGCTCATAAAACCTTCATTATAGGTTTTATTGGATATTTATAGGAGAAATCGTAAAAATATCTGTAGCTAAAACCTGTAATGGGCCGCGCCTTGAGAATAATTTACTTTTTTAATTGAACTAGATTTTAACTATTTCGGATAAACATTGTTCTTTTAAATGCGGGGCAATTAATTTTAAAATATAATACCATGTTTTAAGTTGATTGAAAATTATAAATATTTCTATAGATCCAAAAGAACAAATATATCTCAAAAAAAAATTCTGTATTATAAGATTACGATGAAATAAAAATGTATTATTTGTTTGGTCAGTTTTATGCTAATCTGAGCTAGCTATTTAATTTGTGTAATTATTTTATGTATAGCTTATATTTGTTTATTTACAGAAATACATATATTGTCCTTACAGACTATCCAAATACGATAATCTCGAGAAAAAAATAACATAAATAAAATATTATAAAGTATTTGATTTTATTCATTCACAATTCGTTAAATTTAAAAAAAAACAAATGATATAATACATAAAAATTATACGGGGTGCAACGGGCGGCCTTATCGATAACAAGCGATCTCTTTCAAGCAACCCTAAGTAAGGGAAAAACTAAAAAAATACATGATGAGCAAAGCGCAAGAAGTGCATAACCAAATATAGAAAAAATTATAGAAAATAATTAATCTACAGTATTACAAAAAAATAATAATAAAACAAACTAAAAACTAAAAAGCTAATCTCACGGATTCATGAATAGCAATACAAAAGAAATACAAGAATTACTCAAGTCACGATTGTTCAGGATAGGATGCGGTTAAAAAATGTAAAGTATATAATGTTGAACACATAATTTACTCAATATCGCTATGTATGTATGTATCGGAAATAAAAAAGAAACACCAACTGAGAGTAAAGTATAAATTACATGTAACACTAGAAATACTAACTAACACTATACTAGATTTAAAAATATATATATTAATAAATATGTAAAAGCTAATCTTAGGGTTCAGTCATAATTGATATATAAGTATCTTATTACGAGGCAGAAGAGAAACGAAAAGAAAATGCTCAAAAAGAAGATTCTTAAATTAATTTGAACACAGCTCGTCTGATATCTCGAGGTAAGGAGAATGAGTCATTAAATAAAAAGAAAAGTAACTGGTGACTCAATGTATGCTATTAAATTAGTTCTTCTCGCAGTTATCGTCGTACTCATCACAAATGTATGTTGGCCACTTAGCGGTTAGCAATTTAGGATATTTTTACGTTTTATTTGATCGGATAAAATTATAGGATATTTCATTTTGTCATAAAAAGTTTTGGTTTGCCACAAGCATTCTCAAAAGTAAAAGTAAAAACACGGCCTCCCAATTAAAAAGTTCAGTCGTAATAATTACAAGTTGTTTAAAACACAAATGAGCAGTGTTGGTCTAGTGGGTTTATCGTGTGACTATCATCCCTGAGGTCGTAGGCTCGATACCCGGCTGTGCACCAAAGAAATTTTATTTTATATGTCGCATTTAACATTCGGTCGACCCGTGAATGCAAACATCGTGCGGAAACCAGCGTGCTTTGTACCCAAACAGTCGACGGCGTGTGTCAGGCACAGGAGGCTGATCAGTGATCACCTAGTTGATTGCCAAATGATCCTGAAACAGATACAAAAATTATCCCAGACCTTAAAAGGTTGTAGCGCCAATGATTTATTAAAAAAAAAATCCAAATACAACTATTTTTATATTCCTCTACGAATCGGAATCATGGACGATTCGTGCGAAGGACGGGATAAAAATTGATTCACTAAAGATCTGGTGTTAGAGAAAGATGCTTCGCGGTATGCGACGATGTACCGCTAAAAGAACTAAACAATAAAACTTGGATCAACTCAGAGTACATACTAGATTCTCAACAATCTTTATATATATAATTCTTCTGTGAGTGTGTATGTCACTGAACTCCACGGCTGGACCGATTTGAATGAAATTTTTTTGTGTGTGTTCAAGGGGATCTGGGAATGGTTTAGATTCACAAATCAGCGCGGCAGATGGCACTACAGTCGGTACTTTCATACTTTGCTTAATATCCTAATCGCTTTAAATATCATGCAGGACAACGTCTGTGGGGTCCACTAGTATCCTATAGAAGATTCTTATTTACTGTGATCGTTCTGTCGCGAACCAGAAAACTAGGAAAAGATGGTTGGCAAGGTGGAAGGCCAAGGGGCAGATCCCCCACTCGTTGGTGTGACCTAGTGACGATTCTCACGGGTATCCCCATAACAGCTGCGCTAATGGAAGCTATAGACCGAACAAAGTAAAGAGATATCACTAGCAGGGTAGCATAAATAATGGAAATCTCTTATATACGCAGTAGAAACTTAATAAAATCTAATATAATTCGATAATTCAACTCATCAAAAATATTTTTGTCACTAATTATTAAAAATATTGTATTATAGTACTTCATATACGCACCCAATGCATGAAGTATTTATACGTAATAACAACTTATTTGTTTAATAAAATAAATATCATATAGTGTAAAAACATTTATTTGTTATTTCATACGTTAAGGCAGAATACAAAATACCATCCGTTTCACCTCGACGTCCGTCGTTCCACAACTGAGCGTTTCTCAAGGCAGTTTTTGCCGCGCACCACCACTATGTGGAACCAGCTGCCCACTGAAGTATTTCCAAACCCATTCGACTTAGGGTCCTTCAAGAAAAGAGCGTACCAGTAATTAAAGGGCAGCGGTATCACTTAACATCAGGTATAGATAGGGTCCCAGTTTATAAAAAAAAAACATCTGGTAAACCCCTTTGCTTGAAAAATACTGTATATAACCACAAAATGAAATTTAAAAAACACATTCAATACCATGCTAATTGGCCTCTTAAGAATAATTTTATACACACAAATTTTTGTTTCAGAGCGAGCATAAACCCCAGCACCCCTATGTCGGAAGTGGTGGAGTGGTACACAAGTGCTAATGCAGTATTTTTAGCACATCTAACAAAGGAGATTAAGGATACCGATAGTAGCACAATTTGGAGGTACCAATCTAATATAGAAAATTCTCGTGTCACAATGTTCGTCCCCTTACTCCTCCGAAACGGCTCGACCGATTCTTATGAAATTTTTTATGCATATTTAATAAGTCCGAGAATCGGCTACTTAAAAAACACCTACAAAAAAATACTTTTTGGACAAAAAATTTTGTTTTGATTTTTTATGATACAGCATACAAAAATACATACAACCCCTAATTTTCACCCTTCTACGACCAACCCCTAGTTTTATTATTGTAGATAGTTATTTTTATTGAACTAAACAAATGTTTCCTAGATTTTTTTTTGATTGGACAATTCACACCAATTGACCTAGTCCCATGCTAAGCTGGTGAAGCTTGTGTTATGGGTACTAGGCAACGGATATACATACATATTATAGATAGATAGACATATAAATACATATTTAAACACCCAAGACCTAAGCACAACACCAAATGCTCATCACATCGATGTTTGTCTCAGCCGGGGATCGAACCCGGGACCCATGGATTCGCAGTCAGGGGTACTAACCACTAGACCAATGAGCCGTCAATATAATGTATATACAACAATCGTTTGCCTGGTCAAAGCATCAATTTTCATTTGTTAAACTTACTCTAAAATTTGCATTTGTGAGCGATATACACAACAAAAATCAAGCATATATACGATGAAACGTTTCAATTGATTGTGATCTATGTGATTGGACCTTGAACAATTAGTAATAACAAAAAGCTATCGTAAAAAATTGAAACGAAGATCTTCACGATAAAGCTTAATTGAAACTCGAATATGCATTGTTAGAATAGTGAGTAGTGTAGAGATACAATGCCTAATTAATATTATAACCTTTTAATTAAAAAAAATGTCAAAAAAAAATATTATAAAAACAGCCTACCGCGCATTGAATGCTTTATTTCCTTTTGATTAGAATACCTGTAGTAGGCGATATATGAAAAACGTGAAAATTCGTTTGAGCTACCAATTTCTCTTATATTGACAAAGCGACCGCAAAGTTCGTAATAAAATCTAAGACCGCATTTGCTAAAATTGTCCTGTTTTAATAATCAGACACGTAACCTAATGTTACGTCTAAAAGGCCAGCAACCCACTCGCGAGCCCTCTGGCATTGAGAGTGTCCATGGGCGGCGGTATCATATACATCAGGTGAGCCTCCTGTCCGTTTGCCCCCTGTTCTATAAAAAAAAATATTCTGACATTATGGTCCCTTATTCATTCCCAGTCAATCAGCAGAATCTTCCAAATTCTGTCTGCAAAAACCAACCTAGGAGTTCAGGCACCTCTCTTTGGTATTCTTCGCGAATATAACAGAATAAACACTACTTATCCAGAGCTTGACATATTCGGTAGTGGGCTGATCAATTATTAAAAAAACAGCATTGTTAAGTGCCTGTCTGATACCTTATCCACTGTTTCAGTAGAAATTTTCTGCTTAACAAAAAGCAAAAAAGTAGCTAGAAAAATCTGAAATTGGAAGTGTAATTTTTTTATTGTAATTTTTTTTAACATTTATGTGTGTCATGTATTTTAGAAAATGTCCAAACGTAATACAATAAAATTGTGTTTTAGTTATAAAATTCACCAACAGATGGCGCTGTGCGTTTCTGCATCTCGCTATGGTTATGTCGTGACTTATAAGTGTAAGGTTTAATATATTTTATGAATAAATTGTCTTCGTCCTGGAATCGTGGATTTTTGTTCAGATAGCTTGTAACATAAAGTGTAGATATAGCATTATACATAAACAGACACGCCAACCGCAGAAAATATTTCCACTCATTCATAATTGAACATTTCCAAACAGGAAACTACTATTTCAAGAAATTTCGGGAATTGGAAATTTAAATGGTTATCATGCCCAAAAACCACATCCGAGCTAGTCAGTATATTTAATTATTATTTTATATAATAGCTTCTGCTTATTACACTTGTGGCAATTCTCAGAGAAATGACCTGATAACATTTTAGTATTGATCACCTTGTTCCTTGTCTTTGTATTTTAATTCACATTTACGCTGTGATGAGTTCAGTGCTTTATTTAAGTGTCTAATTAAAGCATTTTTATAAATAGTAGAGTATTCATTCATCCAACGTTTTTTTGAACCCGAAAATCTTGGGTATGTATAATGTAAATACCAAACAAAACACAAACGCTTAGGGCATTCTTCAAAAACTCTACGCCTTAGTCAAAATATGAGGCTTTTAGCTACCACTTAATAAAAAAAAATTCAGTAGCATCAGGGTTTTTCAGGTCTGGGATGAGTCCCAGACCTAAAAAACCCTGTATCTTTCATGATTTCTGTATCTGTTTCATGACCATTGGCCATTCTAATAGGCAAATAGGTGATCAGCCTGTGCCTGACACACTCCGTCAAATTTTTGGGTCTAAGGCAACCTGCTTACCAACCTACTACTTACTAGCTGCCCCCGCGAACTTCGTTTCTCCTTAATGTGATTTTACTTAGCCTACCTTTTCAGTACATACCAACATGGAACATTTTGCTATGTTACCCCAGAGACTGTTCGGTTTTCCGGAATGAAAATTTTCGAAGAGGAAGAAGAAGAACGGAAGAACCTCAGAGTTCAAATCAATAGTTCTTAATATACAAACAAAAATAAGGCCTGATCGTAGAGAGGTGAAAATTTAAGGGTTGTATGTATTTTTGTATGATGTATCATAAAACAACAAAAAGTTTGTCGAAAAAATAAATATAAAAATTTTGGGGTTGTCACCCCTTATCACTTAGGGGTTTGAGAGATAGATAGTAGCCGATTCTCAGTCTTACTGAATATGAATAATATGAAAATTTCATAAGAATCGGTCGAGCCGTTTCGGAGGAGTATGGGAACGAAAATTGTGACACGAGAATTTTATATATTATACTATTGTAATAATAATTCGTGGATAGTTAGATAATTAAATAATATGTGAAAAGTTGCATTATTTCATGATGACAATATATCGGAGACTACTAATATCGTTAAGGGTTGACGATCTGATAACGACATATACAACCTTGTCATATTTTATATATAGATATCCAAATGGTTAAGTATTTAGGTTAATTAATGTCGATAGTGCAACCCTTGATTATAATAATTAAGTGCAAATAGGTCGCATGCAATGAGTCGTGTTGACATTCTTGTCATTAGTGTCAAGTTACTTTTGATTGATGTTTCCATTAGTTTATTGACAGTGACACTTAGCTTAGAATTAGCTTTAGTTATTATCGATATAGTGAGCAGTGTTGGCCTTGTGGCTTCAGCGTGCGACTCTCATACCTGAAGTCGTAGGTTCGATCCCCGGCTGTGCACCGATGGACTTTCTTTCTATATGCGCATTTAACATTTGCTCGAACGGTGAAGGAAAACATCGTGAAGAAACCGACAATTCTTAGACCCAAAAAGTCGACGACGTCGTACTTGCCTATTACATTTAAAAATGATCATTAAACAGATTCAGAAATCTGAGACCAAGACCTAAAGAGGTTGTAGCGCCACTAATTTTTTTTGTTTTATTATCGATATAACGAAAATCCTAATAGAGTTATACTTTTAACAAAGTTTTATGCGAATTAAATTATCAATTATTTCAAAATACCTAAGCTATCGCACAGTTAATTATTCCTCATAAAATAAGGATTTGGTGAGTCATTTGCATTGAGTCATTACTTTTCGCTAGTATGGATGAGAAATGTCACACAGATTGGTTAAATTAATTTTTTTATGAGCAAACCAATAAAATTGATGAATACGTGGGAATGACTCAAACGCGTAACTAGTACGGGAGGTAGCAACGTTTGAAAAGAAAGAATTTTAGGTCAGCTGATTTTGTGATATGTCTTCCTTCTTGCACTTCCGGTTAGAGTCTGGGCAGTCTGGCTGGCGGTAGCGGTTGCGTTCATTAGTGCGCATCCTATCTGTCCAGGTAATAATCCTGGATTTTAAAAGCATTTTAAGAAGCGTAATTTTTGATTTTTCCTTTTTAAATACGTCTACCTGACATACTTTTTTATTGCCAGACATTTTTCACGTTGCTAACTATGTGCCAGACGCGATTTTAAGTTTTATTTTTATAAAAATTTCAAAGCATTTTAGAATGTCTGTAATTTTAATATTATGTTATTTAAATATAAGAAAAATTGAAAATGAATTTGCCAGACATTAATTCGATTGTTAAGCCTTGAATTAAAATGATAAAGTATTGCAGTATGATGAAGCATTGCATTTTAAGAAGCGTAATTTTTGATTTTTCCTTTTTAAATACGTCTACATGACATACTTTTTTTATTGCCAGACATTTTTCACGTTGCTAACTATGTGCCAGACGCGATTTTAAGTTGTATTTTTATAAAAATTTCAAAGCATTTTAGAATGTCTGTAATTTTAATATTATGTTATTTAAATATAAGAAAAACTGAAAATGAATTTGCCAGACATTAATTCGATTGTTAAGTCTTGAATTAAAATGATAAAGTATTGCAGTATGATGAAGCATTGCATTTTAAGAAGCGTAATTTTTGATTTTTCCTTTTTAAATACGTCTACCTGACATACTTTTTTATTGCCAGACATTTTTCACGTTGCTAACTATGTGCCAGACGCGATTTTAAGTTGTATTTTTATAAAAATTTCAAAGCATTTTAGAATGTCTGTAATTTTAATATTATGTTATTTAAATATAAGAAAAACTGAAAATGAATTTGCCAGACATTAATTCGATTGTTAAGTCTTGAATTAAAATGATAAAGTATTGCAGTATGATGAAGCATTGCATTTTAAGAAGCGTAATTTTTGATTTTTCCTTTTTAAATACGTCTACCTGACATACTTTTTTTATTGCCAGACATTTTTCACGTTGCTAACTATGTGCCAGACGCGATTTTAAGTTTTATTTTTATAAAAATTTCAAAGCATTTTAGAATGTCTGTAATTTTAATATTAAGTTATTTAAATATAAGAAAAACTGAAAATGAATTTGCCAGACATTAATTCGATTGTTAAGTCTTGAATTAAAATGATAAAGTATTGCAGTATGATGAAGCATTGCATTTTAAGAAGCGTAATTTTTGATTTTTCCTTTTTAAATACGTCTACCTGACATACTTTTTTATTGCCAGACATTTTTCACGTTGCTAACTATGTGCCAGACGTGATTTTAAGTTTTATTTTTATAAAAATTTCAAAGCATTTTAGAATGTCTGTAATTTTAATATTATGTTATTTAAATATAAGAAAAACTGAAAATGAATTTGCCAGACATTAATCGATTGTTAAGCCTTGAATTAAAATGTAAAAGTCATGAAAAGTATTGCAGTATAATGCTTGTAGTACGAGCATAAAAAGGAATATAAAATTTGATTAAAATTAATAATCAACACTTTATTTAAATTGTCCTAATTACTAAATGTAAGTTATGAATAATTAATATTGAGTTTTACAAGTTGTTTTAGCCTATAGTGACGTCACAAAAAAGAGTCATCTTCATAATCATCATCATCATCGTCGCTGTCTTTGTCGGTGTCATTCATATCATCTTCTTGGGAACTTTCGTTATCTTCTAAATCATCTGCAACAGAAAAAAAATAAACAGTGTAATTTTTCTTGTTCGTTATTAACCATTTTAGTTATTATTGATAAATGTTCCATTTAACACTTACTTTGAACAATAATATCTGCAACTGAGGATGGTAATTGATCTCCCAAAAACCAAACAAAATCATATTTGTCACCGTTAATGGTCCACCCAAAAGCCATTGGAGATAAAGATGTTGGATGTTTTGAGTGAGCATTTCTCCAAATTTTCGTCACGTAACGAACCCTCAATAAATGCTGTTCCAATTCCACTTTACAGGGTGGCAAACTGGATGAGTCAAAGTTTCGAAATTTTTTGTCAAAGTTCTCATCTGATTTTTTTGACTTAAACGTACTTGAAAATAAATGAAATCGAACATCATTAACAATCGAACAATTTTTAACTCCATACATTTGACAAATAAATTTCTCCAGGGTTACAAACGTAGTTTCAAGTACTTCTTTATCATCCGAAATTATATTATCAAAAGCTAACTGGTATTCCTCAGAATTTTCTAATATTTTAAAAGGCTTAACTTTGCCTTTTCTAAAAAAAGCTGGCGTGTAATCACATCCGGTGATTGCGTGGAAAGCATGGTAAAGCTTTGCATAAAGAGTCACCAAGAATTCGGTACAATTCATTGATGTTTATGTAACGCTGATGATTTCCAACACCCATATTTATCCAAATTTTCAAAGATTTTTTCAGGTGATCCATATTTCCCAGAAGTATAATTAAAATATCAGAATCAGAACAGCGTATAACAACTTCTGCGTCAAAATCGATTTGGCAAATATGAAAAATTATCCTAGAATCAGCTTCTTCGTGTTCTTCACACGATAATGATTCTTCAATAGTTTTAATTCAAGACTTAACAATCGAATTAATGTCTGGCAAATTCATTTTCAGTTTTTCTTATATTTAAATAACATAATATTAAAATTACAGACATTCTAAAATGCTTTGAAATTTTTATAAAAATAAAACTTAAAATCGCGTCTGGCACATAGTTAGCAACGTGAAAAATGTCTGGCAATAAAAAAGTATGTCAGGTAGACGTATTTAAAAAGGAAAACGCAAAAATTACGCTTCTTAAAATGCAATGCTTCATCATACTGCAATACTTTATCATTTTAATTCAAGACTTAACAATCGAATTAATGTCTGGCAAATTCATTTTCAGTTTTTCTTATATTTAAATAACATAATATTAAAATTACAGACATTCTAAAATGCTTTGAAATTTTTATAAAAATAAAACTTAAAATCGCGTCTGGCACATAGTTAGCAACGTGAAAAATGTCTGGCAATAAAAAAAGTATGTCAGGTAGACGTATTTAAAAAGGAAAAATCAAAAATTACGCTTCTTAAAATGCAATGCTTCATCATACTGCAATACTTTATCATTTTAATTCAAGACTTAACAATCGAATTAATGTCTGGCAAATTCATTTTCAGTTTTTCTTATATTTAAATAACATAATATTAAAATTACAGACATTCTAAAATGCTTTGAAATTTTTATAAAAATACAACTTAAAATCGCGTCTGGCACATAGTTAGCAACGTGAAAAATGTCTGGCAATAAAAAAGTATGTCAGGTAGACGTATTTAAAAAGGAAAAATCAAAAATTACGCTTCTTAAAATGCTTTTAAAATCCAGGATTATTACCTGGACAGATAGGATGCGCACTAATGAACGCAACCGCTACCGCCAGCCAGACTGCCCAGACTCTTACCGGAAGTGCAAGAAGGAAGACATATCACAAAATCAGCTGACCTGGAATTCTTTCTCGAAAACGTTGCTACCTCCCGTACTATAACTAGGTATAGTGACTCTGTCATATATTGCACGTCATAGACCATCGTACGTACGTTTAAGAGCGGAAACTTATTGGTTGTATTTTTGAAGTGAAACTTCTTTATCGGCGTTAGAAAAAAAATTGCGTCACATTTTCCGTTACGCGCATCTTTTTCTTGTCCCTACCACGGTTGATTCGAAGAGATTCGAAGCCATTAATAACAAAACGATAACAATGATAGTAATAATTCTATTACAATTAATTAAATTCTGTAATAATCTTAGTAGTAATAAGGTAAAATGAAATAATTATTGTATTATTTGCGTTCATGTTTATGATAGTAAAATACTTTTGTTAAACTTAATCTAATTTAACTTTATTTAACCAATTTCTGTAAAGTTGCATAGGTATAGTAGATAATTTTTCGTAAAATAATGTCATAAAGAAGTTTCACTTCTTACGTTTGTACACTAGTATACGCACACATTTTTTTATAAATAATAGCGTACAGCGTCTGTCCAAAAATAATTACATGGTTTTACAAAACTTTTGTGGCGATCATTGCGTTAAAACTTGATACAACTTCTAATAAACCGGGAGATAGTGACACAAAATATTGGGTCATTTGTACCTGTATAACGGTTCTTCAGGGGTCTTATTACGCAATGAAAAAAGGAAAAATGATGGTCATAGCGGCTGACGCCGGCGGCCCAATCGCGTGGGCGTCGAACTCGTCGGATTAATTACGAGTGTCAAATGATTTGTTCCACCAAAATTCTAGTATTTTCTGATAGTCCATAAAAAATAAGAGGCGATAGTGTCATGCCATACTTCTCCGGTGTGACTTGCAGCCATACCGACGCCAATGCGTAAATTAAAACAAAACCTTATCTACTGGCTGGATCCTTGCTTTAGGTCGGTGGATGAGCAGCACCTGCTTTCGTTTACAGTTTTAATAGACGTACGCGCATAACGTTTAACCCAATAGTGCTAGAAGAATAACTTGTTTTAAAAAAATATATGCACAATTCACGTGGTAGAAGTGAAACCTTCAAAAATTTTGGTTTCAAGATGAGACGAATGTAATTTTTAGTTTTTCAATTATTAATTTTGATATGAACTACAATGATATAAATTTTTTTTAAATTAAATATTTTATAATTAAATTTAAAGTCTATACACTGTATAATGCTTCCTATCTCTTTTTCTCCCTCGTTAAATCTTATGAATTTATGTGTCGGTCTCTGTTTACTACCCCTTTTTCGTTTCATCGACTTTCAAATCACAACGATGCTAAGAAGGTTTCACTTCAAACTGACTACTCGTATTAATTCATTGTTATTATTATTACTATGTAAATTATGAATATTGTTAATACTCTATATATTATGTGTAATAAATATATGTATGACTACTATGTATGATACTATTATGATACACTAGAACTGTTTATTAAGATAAATATTTGAGAGTTATGCTAAAGTGAAAATAATTTCCTTTAAAAAATGCAAATAACCAAATGTAAAACACACCAAATTAATTACTTTGATACCCAGCCGACACCAATATTAAAATAATATTTTCTTCTAAGTATTAACTTCTAACAATTATCTGAATCCCTTCAGTTAAGGCTAATAATAGCGTTGGTTCTAGGTATTTAGTGGGCTTCAAGAACCTCCTTCGAAGTATAGAGTGCAAGGGCATAGGATCAGTTCTTGGGATTAACTACTTCGCACGTGGCTATCTTCAGGGCAGAGCTCATGAGAGGTAAGATATCCATAGGTATATGGTAATTAGCTTTTTATTCGATATTTTATTTGTTAAAACCACAGTATATTAAGTTTATTATTACATAGATATCAATAGTTGATAAAATGTATCGTAGTATTATATACGTTTTGATAATACAGTTATATCTACTATAAGAAATACCATTTAATAGTTGTCGTAATAGAAAAAAATCTATACTTTTTTCTATGAAACACTAAAGCACTCACTGAGCTTATACAGTCAAAGGCCGAAATCATTTTATACTTGACGAAACTCTCGTAAATAATAATTATTTATTTATTTAGGCAGACACACATTTCTATTTCTATTGTGTTAGTTACAATATTGTCTTAAGTATTAAATTAATAGATTTCATTGACATACACATAACCGCAACAAAACCACTCATACACTGAATCTAGTCTTCCTGCTAGTAGAGTCAGAATGCTGGGGTTCCCACGATGACAGGGTTGAGAAGTTACAGACTTCCGGCGCAGGTATTGTGTGGGCGCCATTTTGAAAAACATGACAACTATTCCCAAGATGAAGCTTTCATGTCAAGTAGATGCTTTGGCATTTTAATTGCGCATTTCAGTTTTCATGTACGAAAGTAAAAATATAACTTTTCTTGCCTTAAAAACACGTCAACAATAATTTTTCTTTCACACGATTTGAAATAAATACCTACCGGTTGAATACAGCTGTGTATAATGTATAATGTAAACGGGTAATATAATAATAAACTAATATAATAAACTCGTATTATAACATATATAATGTATGTATGATAATGTAATGCGAAAGCTTCTATAATCTATAAATAATAACACATTTTAGTCCAAAAAAGATTAGATATTGAAAAAACAACCTTTTTTTTCATTGTAGGTGTCATGATTTATTTTATATAGCTTCCTTAAAATATAGGTTAAGAAGTCTTTTTTTTAACTCTGTCCCTCTCCCTTCAAGAGAGAACCACTTACCCCCTAATGATGTTAAATTAACACGTATATAACAAGTGACGCTGCAAGTGATTTTTTTTTAATTATTTTTAATTGGTCAATTGTTTATAACCTTTATTTATTAAACATTTTGATGATTATATTTAGGTATATAGCTCACATGGTGCTAGGCCGTGATCTCTTGGACAATACTCTTAATCTGGTGCCTTCATTGATACCTCTCCACAAGGATATTAAGGAAGATAGTCCAGAATACAAAGTATTAGAGAAAAAGTAAGTACACATTCATTTGATTTTGCATTTTCACAATATTAACGAGAAATAATATTTAATAAATGAAATTATTAATATGAAACTTAATAATGAAACATTTTTTACGGGATTGAAATTATGTATTTACAATTATTTTTCATAATTTTAAATTTAACCGACGTTTCGCGTGCTGAACAGCGTTCATGGTCACGGTGACCAAAAATAATTGTAAATACATAACTTCAATCCGGTAAAAATTGATTTATTATGAAATGTGTGAAAGTTATGTCAATAAAAGACAATACAATATAAAACTTACAATCTTTTAAATTACTATAACAATAATAAAACAATATTATTAAAATCAGTCCCTTTAGGCAAGGTTCCGAAGATACCGGCAGCGTTCCCCCTTTGAATAGCTAGACTAATTCTTTGTCCAAGGTAGCTAGCTAGGTAGCTAGCTCGGTCTAACGTACAATAAGAAAAATTAATTTATTAATATGTAATGACTTTACATTTCAATGTAAAGTAATTTTATTTTAAATTATATAAAATTTTACGCAATGCTCAAGTTTTGAGAGAAGACCAGATCTCATCATTAAAAGCTTGCTACACATCTAATAATTTAATTTGTTCCTCGTTTTTATATTGCCATGACTAACCAGATATATTTATACTATATCTTTATCTCTCGTCCGGTAAAACCATATTTTTCGCCCACACAGGAGGCTTCCTGAGAATCATCTGTCATTGGAGAATTACACGATTTCTAACACAAAAAGCGTGTGAAATGAATTAAATTCAGAACGGCGACACGAATGTCCTAAGCTTATTTATTCCTTCCCATCATACGCAGGGAAGTCAGGAAAGTCAGTATCAATAACACCAAGTACATGACAAAACACCCAAGGTGATTAAAGGCGATATAAAAACATGGCTTGCACGTGGACGGCTCCAGCTTTCTGTAAAAACTCATTAACACGTGATGTGAGCAAATTGGATTTTACAATTAAAATGTCGTTACGTGACTAAACGAGATATGACTGCGGGGTGTTTTTATACAGGAGTGTGTAATTTATTTCGTAATCATACAACTAACATAAATTATGTATAACAAAAACAATTATACTAAAGATATAGCCAAAGATATACATATAAAGGTTCAAATATTTACGAAACATAGAAAAAAGTCATAAAAATTATTAAATACATTTTTAACTAAGTGATACCGAATTGTGTGATGTTGTGAAAGTGAGGATGTGTACGTATATGGGTGTGCTCATCTCAGCATATTCGAGAATATATATTTCTTTAATATTATAGATTAATTTTTTGTGTGCGTGTGTATGTGACTGAACTTCTCTCAAACGACTGGACCGATTTTGATGAAATTTTTTGTGTGTGTTCAAGGGGATCTGGGAATGGTTTAGATTCACAAATCAGCCCGGCAGATGGCACTGCAGTCGGTACTTTCATACTTTGCTTAATATCCTAATCGCTTTAAATATCATGCAGGACAACGTCTGTGGGGTCCACTAGTATTATATAATTTTTTAATGAATTAAAGGATAAATCTATAAAACAGAACTGCACCAAATGAAATCATTTCTTTTAAGTTTTCGCTTTTAGTCAAGTCAAGGTGATCGATGTACAGCCCTGCGATTCTGTAACTCACAGCAGTCATTTTATGATTTAGCATTCTGATAAACAATAAACTACAAGCTACTACCTTTTCAGAATGCCAAATCATAAAATGACTGCTTCACGACTGATTTGAGAGCGACCGCCGATGCGAAAACCGCTGTGTGAGTTCGAAAAGTGAGTTACAGAATCGCAGGGCTGATCTTACCATAAAACGAATTGGCATCATTAAGACTGTCAATTATCGTCTAAAATTCGTAATATTAGCGCGTTTAACAAATTCAAAAGGGCATTAAAGGTAGGTGCATATCAGAATGAGACTAAACTAAAATTGAGACGGCTGATGGCGACATGTATCTCGCCGTGTATCTCTTATATCAAATACATTTTTTTTGTAACGTGAAAGAAAGTTCTTAAAACATTAAGAAATCCACACATTTTCACATTCATAATCTTACGTATTAAATTAGCTGTTCGAAGCGTGCACTGAATTAATGTGTTTACGTTCCAAGCATTTACGAAATAAAATACTAGATGGAAAACTCGTATGAATTGAAAATGTTGCATAAAACTGCAGTTTTCTATTGCATATGGCTCCAATACTTTTATAGTTATAAATTGCTTCATGTTTATCTTAATGTCGTGACCCGATTATACAATTGCTTCACAGTATGAAGTGTATAGCCAATTGGGTCACAGGTCAACACCTTTCAGCTTCATTCAATCTTTTTATATAAATAGGTACAGCCTTCAGCCGGACCACATACCGTATTTTGCCGCTACTCTTTATGTTATATGGATATTCGTTGTAGTAGTCAAACAGATAGAGGGACGCGACGCGTCGCGCCCGGCGTGACGGCAGCTTTGTATTCAACTACAAAAATGGACATGGTGAGAGTTGAAAAACTAATTGAAAGTATTCGAGCACAGTTTTTGTATGATTTGGGCCATTCCCAATACAAAATTGCGAGCTTGAAATCAGCGATTAGGGAATTAATAGTAAGAAATCTCAAAGAGCTTGTTTCAAAATGCTCGAGAAATCACGCTGAGTGCAGCGGGACGGCTGACGCGACGCTTGCAGGATCATCACGTCCGCAGTGTGACATCCACACCCCGTCGCCGTCCCGCCCGGTCCGCTGTTTGACCAAACCTTAATAATATATTTAATTGAATTTTTGCTGGTAGCACTGACATAACAAAACAGAGCTTTAAGGTTGTCGACTCACTTATTGTTTATATTTATTGTTTTCAGGAATCAACAAATAGTTGACAATAAACATCAACCGGGCAGTGTATCGGATGCGATCGAATATTTCGACCAAACGGCAACTTTACTAGGAAAACTAAGAGCGGTTCAGAAACAACTAAGAGAGTATATAAGGTAATTGAAAATGTTATTGGTAGAATAGCGTAGGTGTGGGTAAAATGTAAAAGCTATACTAGAAGCCTCCCATGCAGTCGTGTGAACTTCCCGCGCTGGTTTTGTTGGGGATAGATTAACCCGCTCTGTTAGCCGCAGACTAACTTAAGTCACAATACACCCTTTGTATTCTGTTTGACTTACATAAAAAGGAGAAATATTTACGAATAAACCCCAATCTAAATACAAAGTCAAAATAAATAAATTAGTGGCGCTACAAAATGTTATGTCTGGTCCGCAAATTTCTGTATCTGTTTCAAGAGAATCTGTCAATCTAATAGGCGAGTAGGTGATCAGCCTCCTGTGCCTGACACAGGCCGTCGACTTTTTAGGCTGCACTGCTCAAAATTGGTCATAAGCAATGTCTTAATCCCATACAATAAATTACAATTATTTGTCTAATTTAAAGAAACATTTTTGCTAAAAAAGTATCTTACTGCACCTATTCTATGTTTGATAAACAATTGATTAAAACAGACATTATATCCTAACCTACCACAACGTACAGAATTTACGTCATTAGTATTTGCATTCGCGTGCCTTATGGATTTTACGTATTTAATTTATGCAATTATTACGTAACAAAGTAACGGAATTTACTTGACAAAGCATTCACGCGTCACTTACCGCGCCACATTTGTTTGCATAATGAGTACTAAGTAATCAATATTTTCACTTCTACGTATATTCTATAATAAATACTATATTGTTTACTAATACAAGTAGTACTCGTTCTCTCTCTATGTTTTGTTTTATCTGTTTCACAATGGAAAATGGATTTCTGCGTTCAATTCCTTTTTTAATATAGGAGGCCAATGGGCAGGAGGCTCACCTGATGTTAAGTGATATCGTCCGCCGTCCATGGACACTCACATTGCCTGAAGGCTCGCAAGTACGTTGCCGGCCTTTCAAGAATTGGTACGCTCTTTTCTTCAAGGACGTATTACTATGTAAGGGCAGTCGGTTGATGTATGTGATACTTTGCCTACCAACCTGAATAATAATTGTTTCCTCTGGGATAAAATTGTAATATGTTAATAATGAATCTTTAATATAATATTTATTATTATAATAATTATTTATTAATGTCTTCTCTTTGTTACCCTCTAATATTAGTTTAAAAGCATCATGCCTGTGCCAAGATTCGTTTGGAATAATTGAAATGTGTCAGTTTGGGGAGATACAATCAATTGAGCGCGGTCCTGTAGACTATTTTTGGTGTTGACTTATCAAAATTGATTGTTGTCATTGATAACCAAGCCATGAATCTCAGACATTTTCTTTTCAGAGATGGCGTGAACGAGAACCTGCGCGAAGCGAGGCAAAGTGAGGCTGTGTGCGCAGCCATACTTGTATTGGTGTGTGTGATATCTCCTATCATCATAGTCCTTGTTCGGAATGCTGTTAATACAATACAGGTATATTTTAATCTATAATATAAAAATGAATCGCTTATTCGTTGATCGAGGCCACCAGCTCTGGGGTCATCGGTACTATCTAGCAGGCGTCAACACAAATCTTTAATTAATTAAAGATAATTTAATCTTAATTCTTAATTAGTTATAGAAACTAATACTAATTTATTTTCATCTTTACTTGTGTGAATTCACATTGACAATTGGTATCATGTATACCCTGATTTTTAAAACGCATTACAGCATGGTGATTCTGTAAACTGATTTCGCTTGCTTATTTGTGTTGAGTTGCTTAATTTCGTGCTACTTATCACTGTGAAATTGGCTGAAGACGCGCAATCGACCAAACACTTCCCTGGGAGTGAGCTCGCAAATATAGTTATTAGATTATTGACGTAAAAAAATACAGGGACAGCTGTTATTAATTCGTGTCGTTCAAGGCTGTGCCTTTGAAACGACCGACCAGGATAGGTACTAAGAAACCCAGTTCTTGAAGTACACTTGGGTTGCACACTACACCCCTCAAAACTTTCAGTACGTAGTAGTTAGTTAATAACAGAATTTTAAGTTACTCCGTTTAATATCCATATAGTTTAATTATTTATTTATTTCTTTAGCTAACATAAATTCTAATCTCATGTAATAATTCCTACAAAATTTATAGACTTACGGATTCTGTTATCTTCCGGTGTCATATATATATATATTTTAATAGCTATAAATATTTAACTGACTAACTCATACTACTAGTTAGTTACGGTAAAGACCTCTTCTGAGGACTTTAGTTTTGAATGAACTTGCGGTTTGCGGTTTTAACGCAATCGTACCAAGTGACGTACTCATTTAACTTGTATCCATGAAGTAGACGCGTGCGCCATTCATAACATTACGTATTAACCAAGGAAATACATGTTCCTACGAAGTTAATTGATTAATTTCCCGGCATGTTCAAATTGTTTACGTCACATATTTATTATATGTTATTGGGTCGCTAAGGGAAATCGATTGGCTAAGAAGAATATTTTCATGTATGAGGAAATATTGAAAAGAGATTATTTAATAGTATGTATATATTGGTTATCGCCTGTAGTTGCCCACGTGATTTCTTTGCAAATAAAATTTAAATCCAGATGAATAGTCACGCGGTTTGAAGACATATTAAGTCTGTGTCTCTCTGCATCTTCTAATGCATTTACCATGCAGAGTGTTCAGAGGAGTTGTTTGGAACCTACAGCTGAGTTTCATCATCCACTATGTGGAATCAGCTGCCCGAGGATATCCGAACCAATTCGAAGAAAAGATCGTACCAGTTCTTAAAGATCCACAACGCGAGCCTTCTGGCAATGTGGTTGTGCATGGGCATATCACTAAACATCAGGTTCCTCAGTGCCTCAGGCCTTCTGCCCGTTTGTTTGCCCCTGATACATAAAAGCAGTCGATAAAGCTTATGAAAGAAAAGTGCAACTGCAAAAATTAACGGTTCACATATCTGTCATTTGTTTCTCCGACCACGCCCGGCATTGCTTCTTGCTTATGGATATATATATTATGTTAAATTACTATACATCGATTAAATTAATTTCATAAGCCGTACTGTATGTTTTCAAGATTCTAAATTCAAACCTTTTTTTTTTTCTGCGGTTATTTGCAATCAACCCCAAAGCTATGAGCGAATTTTTTCTGTGGTGCTGTATGGAAGCATCTACTCATATTCTGTCTAGAGCTACTGCCGGTCTTCTAGCTCTAGAATATGGTGACGTTTTAGTCGACTCACATACTGTCTAATGGTGAGTTGGCGAGCAAGTTCATTCGGGTGACAGCTTAACCGCTCTTTGTATTTAGCTGCCAGTCTCCGGATTTCCTCTTTGATAGTTCTCATTTTAAGGTGTTCGTGAACTTCGTTGTTGGTTATGTACCATGGTACTTTTGCAACTGCTCTTAGGATCTTGGTCTGTTGTCGCTGGAGTATATTTATGTTGGTATCACTTGCGCTGCCCCACAGTTGGAGGCCATATGTCCAAATGGGCTTTAGGATGACTTTATATATAAGAAGTTTGTTATCTAGAGAAAGTCTTGAGTTTCTTCCTAGCATCCAGTAAAGGCTGTTGTACTTTAGCTGTAGCTCCTGCTTTTTACATACTACATTCAAACCTAAACCATTTTTTCCAGGTTTATGCTCGCAATTTGTCAGAGAAGGCAACAGAACTAGAATATGAGAAGGAGTTGAGCGATTCTCTCCTCTATCAGATGCTGCCTGCTAGTGTCGCGAAACAGCTGAAGCAAACACAACAGGTATTCATTACCTTTTAATTAATTGTTTAAAAAGGTTTCCATTTCTACTTGTGATCTATCAGATTTAAGTATATCTAATATATTATATCAAATTCTCGTGTCGCGGTGTTTGTGGTTAAACTCCTCCGAAACGGCTTGACCGATTCTCATGAAATTTTGTGTGCATATTGAGTATGTCTGAGAATCGGACAACATCTATTTTTCATCCCCCTAAATGTTAAAGGTAGTCCACCCCTATATTTTTTTTTATTTTTTTATGATACAGTGTTAAAAAATACATACAACCCCCAATTTTCACCCCTCTACGGTCAACCCCTATTTTTTATTACAAACGATATACATGGCAAAACGACGTTTGCCAGGTCAGCTAGTATACCTATAATAAATATAAAAATCGCGAACGCAAACAAACGTCTACAACTCTACATAATAAAAATATAATTTTAATAAGGACACAATCAATCTTATCAAAATGTGTCTATTATCATGAAATCAAGGTTTTGTCTTGGTTCGAACTGCGATACAATTTGCATTTCTCCTAAATACGACTCGTACACAAAGACTCTTGAGCTTTACTTAGCTTTTTTACATTTCATATTCTTCTTCACCATCTTCTTACTGCACCGCTCACTCCCGTCAAGAGCCTAATATAGAATAATCTAGTGCTATTAAAGAACTTCTTAAAGTGATTCTCTAAATTATTTCAGGTCCCAGCTGAATTCTTCGCTTCGGTAACTGTATACTTCAGCGATATTGTTGGTTTCACAGCAATTGCAGCTGTGTCGACGCCCTATCAGGTACCTATTGTTCCGGTTCCTAAGCTAGTGGTGTGCATTTAAATTATCTTCAAATATACACTTATCAGAGGAGATTCATGAACTCATAGTAACATTAAAAAATTGCCTTTAGTTTTATAATTTAATTTTTTGGTTTATTTTTGAAGTGAAACTTCTTTAGGCGCAAGAGGGTAAAACTTTTACGGAACGTCACGAAGATGTGCAGCGTTTTTGTGGAAGAAAAGGGAGAGAGCGATTGAGACTTGAACACCGATGGTGTTTTTAATATATATCATTATCATTATTATTTTACTAAGTAACCAATTTTTTTGCTGGTTTTGTATTTTGATAAGGGCACAGTACCAAGACCCAGTTGGCTATTTTAGAAAATGTGGACAAAGTTTATGAAGCAATTATGAAATTAATGAATTTGTTATATTATTTGGTAATTGTTACCATATTGATGGTAGTATTTCTATATACATAACAACAACTAATTTTAGTTCTGGTTTTTAACTAGCCTTAGTATCATTCAGTAATATAGAAAGACTGTCTAAATTAAATAATGGGATTTGGGCAGCTTAATTACTAAATTATTAATTTACAAAGAAGTTTCACGTCTGACATGTGACATGTTTTATATTTTCTCATAAGTGAATGTTGTAATTTTCTTGATGAGTAATTAAAGTTATATTTAAAAAAAAGACTTTGAAAATGTATTAATTTACATTACTTTTTTCAGGTGATTAGCTTTTTGAACTCTGTGTACAAACTCTTCGATGAAAGAATTGAATGTTACGACGTGTATAAGATAGAAACAATTGGTGATTCGTATATGGTCGCATCTGGACTACCCGTGAGAAATGGTATGTAAAGGTGAATGGGGCAATGGGGTATACATAGCTTGACTGATTCCTATACATATACAGGGTGGCCAAAAAGTCGTGGATCAAACGCAAATAGGGGATAGATGAGGTCATCAGCGGCAAAAAATTGTTCTACGGGAGGTCTCTAAGGTCAACCCCTGCAGAGTTATGATTTATTTTGGTTTTTATATGAAAATTGACTTTTTTTTACTAATTCTTCTTAAAATTCGTAAATATCTACATCCTGTATCTTTCTCATAATATCCACTTGATTGGTACTGATAAGTTCTTGCGTTAGACATACTATTTATAGTTGTTTATTGAGTGTATTGAAGATAATATTAAGTTATACGATATAATTTTTTTTCAAATCAAAACTTTTTGTTTATTTCGGACCCCACTGTGAAAAAAAATTACTCTACCGAAAAGTGACCCTGTATTACAAGTTTTGGCGCATTTAATATGGATTCTGAAAAGGTATTATACATGGCTATGAGTCGCTCTAATATCTTTCTAGGACGAAATGGCCACGTGGCCAAGTTTTGATTTGAAAAAAATTTATATCGTATAACTTAATATTATCTTCAATACACTCAATAAACAACTATAAATAGTATGTCTAACGCAAGAACTCATCAGTACCAATCTAGTGGATATTATGAAAAAGATACAGGATGTAGATTTTTTTCGAATTTTAATAAGAATTAGTAAAAAAAATCAATTTTCATATAAAAACCAAAATAAATCATAACTCTGCAGGGGTTGACCTTAGAGACCTCCTGTAGAACAATTTTTTTCCGCTGATGACCTCATCTATCCCCTATTTGCGTTTGATCCACGGCTTTTTGGCCACCCTGTATATTACGGCATTCTACGCCATGTAACTCGAAACTTGTCCTCTTCCTCTCGGACCGCGAAAGCGTTAAGACGTGTAAGCTTACGTAAAATATTTTATAAAATTAAATATAATATCTTGTCCGCAAATTTGGTGAAGTACCAGGCGCCCATAACGCGCAAGAAGTCAATTAACTACGGGTGAGAAGGACAACAACAGTGAACGAAACAGTTTCGTGAGCTACGCTTTACTTTGCGTACGCGCCGATGCGACGCTAGAATAAAGCTGTGCGTGAGTCATATTAATTAATCGCTTAGTGCAATTTAAAGGCGATAGCGGTAGCGGAGCAAAAAATAAGGGTCTGGCCCAATTATAAATTCATATTCAATTTTGTGTTTTCCCAATTAGTGAATTTATAAGATGCCAAAAGTTCAACGCTCTCCTATGGCCAATAAATCACAAAGTGTTTCTGAGCCAAACGTCGACAAAATGGAAACTTTTCACACAGACCTTTACGGTGACAATGAACCACCGAGCTATGTTCAACAACGTCAAAAAAGGGCTAGAGAGCATGGATTTGAGGATGAATTATTAAGTTTTAAAAAAGAGATGAAAGGCATGATTAAGTCATTGTTTGCGGAACAACAAAAAGAGCTTAAAAAAATAACGTCTGCCCAAGTAGAGATCAGAGAGAGTAATACCAACATAGAAAGTAGCCTTGCTTTCCTCTCATCGCAACATGAAGACCTTAGGAAGAAAATAGAACAGCTTGAAGTACGTTTAAAGCAAGACAGAGAACAAATTATAATTTTAGAGGACAAGCTTGAGGAATTGCAGCGGGAACAACGTAAGGCTAATATTGAAATAAAAAATATGCCAAAACTACCCACAGAATCAAAGGAAGACTTAATAAACATGGTTGTAAGCTTATCAAAATCCCTGAATAGCGTTATTAAAAAAGATGATATCAAAGACATATACAGGCTAAAAGGGAAAAGAGATTCTAATAAAACGAATACTCCAATAATTGTTGAGTTATCATCCTCGATTCTTAAATCAGATTTACTAAAATCTTGTAAAACCTACAACATCAAAAATAAAGAAAAGCTACGAGCGAAGCATCTGGGAGCTACTAAAAATGAAGAAACTGCAGTGTTTATCTCCGAGCAGCTCACTGCGAAAGGCGCTAGACTACACTTTCTCGCTCGCGATCTAGCTAAATCAAAAGACTACAAGTTCTGTTGGACTTCTTACGGACGTGTTTACCTAAGAAAGAATGAAAACACCCCGGTAATTAAGGTCAAAAACGAATCACAGGTACACAGCCTCATGCAGGCATGACTCTTTAACTATTGTCCTTTTTTTGTAAAAATTTTTTCTTGTTATCCCATTATTAAACAGTTTTTTCTAAAAAACAATAGTCACAAACCTTTACACTACATATACTATTTACACTCACGCACTGATACACTCACATATATTAAACACTATTCTAGTGCGATCTCACTTTATCTCATGGCTCATGGCTACAAACACGTCACAAGTGATTATAAACATTTATTCAATCTCGGCTTTACTGCGAATTTCTTATCCCAAGTAAATTATAATTTCTCGAAGTGTACGGAAAGTATCTGGTTACTCATTTATGGATAGTCAGACTACAATCATGTACGAATTAGATAACATACAAATAGCCCAATCTAATGTCCATACTATAAATGACTTTTCAAGACAGACAACCATACAAAAATCTGATTTCACGATAATATCACAAAATATAAGAAGCATTTACAATAATTTTGATGATCTTTTAATAACTTTATCTGAGTTCAAATTTCAAGCTGATGTAATAACACTGACCGAGGGATGGATCGACCCACACAAGCCTATACCCCAAATGGATAACTACACTCACTTCGTTACAAGCCGCCATTTAAATCGTAGTGATGGCGTAGTTGTCTACATAAAATGCAACCATAAAACTATCGTTCAAGAAATAAATTTAAAACATGCATCTTGCTTACAAGTCAAAGTAGGTAACTATACCATGTTGTGTATTTATCGCTCCCCGTCTAACCTTAACGCTGAAAATTTTATAGATTCATTAAATAGTCACTTAGTAACTTTACAAACTCAGAATAACATTATAATAACAGGAGACATCAACATAAATCTAATACAAAAATCCAGTGAAACATCTCAGGAGCGCTCGAACCGATTACATTACCTCAATATGCTAGCCATGCATGGCCTGCTCCCGGGTCATACACTGCCTACTCGAGATAGCAATTGCATAGATCATTTCATACTAAAACTTGATAGGTGCATAGGTACGTGTGCGTCTATTACCGTTATTGATTCTACAGTTACTGATCACAAAATGTTATTCTTAAAACTATCCTACCTCGCTAAGTCGAATTACAATACCTCGAAAATTAAATCTTCAATCAACATGGAAGGCGCTTTAAGTTATTTAAAAAACAGCAACATAAATGATCTAATTTACTATAATAACCCTATAATCTTAACTAATAAATTAATATCTATCTTAAAGCAGTGTATTCAATCCAATACTATCACTAGAGCTATCCCGAATAGGGAACGCCTTATTAAACCATGGATTACCTTAGGAATTGTTAGATGTATTCGTAATAGAAATGCTATGCAAGCAAAACTCCGAGCTGATCCTCATAATGAAATTCTTAAAATTACATACAGGAGATATAGGAATTTCTGCAATAGTTTAATAAAGAAAGTCAAACGTAAATATGAAAAAGAAGACCTTGCCAAGAGTATAAAAAACCCGAAAACTTTGTGGAAGAAAATAAATACCCTCACTTATCGTAACCAACCTAAAACGCAAAATCTAGAATTACTAAATTTAAATGTTTCTCCTCAAAAATCGGTTAATTTGGTAAACGATTATTTTTCAAACATTGGTAAAAACTTAGCTAAAGAGATAATTCCAGTTACGACGTTACATAATAGAACAGATGTGATTAGACCCAACTGTTCCCAGGTCTCGTCTTTTGTGCTTCTAGAAACTGACCCTCATGAAGTATACCTGACTATTGTGAGTCTCAAAACTGACAGTGCTCCTGGCTGGGATGGTATAAGCACCAAGTTTCTTAAATATACTAGGGAGCTAGTTGTGCCCATAATTACTCATTTGGTTAATCTCTGCTTCCGACAGGGAGTGTTTCCACCTGCGCTAAAACAAGCAATTATTACACCTGTGTACAAGAATGGTAACAGAGAAGATGTTTCAAATTATCGCCCAATCTCCGTTCTCACTGCCATATCAAAAGTACTTGAAAAATTAATTAATAAAAGACTAATTACCTACCTTCAGAAGTATAGTCTACTTTCAGACTCACAATTCGGTTTTAGACAGGGTCTGTCAACCGAAGATGCAGTTACCTCACTATCTTGTCATATTGTTAATGAAGTTGATAAAGGTAATAAATGTATCACAGTTTTTATCGACTTAAAAAAGGCATTTGATACGGTTTCTGTCCCTATTCTGGTGCAGAGACTAGAGAACATTGGTATTAGGGGTATTCCACTCACATTGTTCGCTGATTACCTCAGTGAACGAAAGCAAGCAGTTAAAATAGGTCAATACATCAGCGAACAATCTGACGTCACATATGGGGTCCCACAAGGTAGTGTTCTGGGGCCGACCTTATTCTTAATCTACATAAACAGCTTATGCGATTTAAGAATTGATAGTGGGAAAGTCTACTCCTACGCGGATGACACTGCTGTTGTCTTCACTGGGAAAACTATTGACTCGGTGCGTCGACATACAGAAATAGGGCTTTCCAAAATAGATAACTGGTTAAGAGAAAACTTATTATCATTAAACGTAAGTAAAACTAACTACATTTTCTTCACTAAATACAATAGCGCCCAACCTCAAACAGATCTAGAAATAAAAATACATAACTGTAGCACCAGAGTAAACTGTACATGTAAAACTATAAATAAAGTTCATCACACTAAATATCTAGGAGTGGTAGTTGATCAAAGAATGTCATGGCATGAGCACCTAGAACAAGTTATAAGTAGGATTCGAAAGCTTATTTGGACATTTAAAACTCTAAGGCACATCGCTGACAAACATCTACTAATACAGATATACACATCGCTGGCTCAGTCAATTTTAGTGTACTGTATCCCAGTTTGGGGGGGTGCTACAAAGATGAAGTTCCTGGATCTGGAGAGGGCACAAAGAATTTTACTAAAAGTAATGATGTTTAAGCCTTATAGATTTTCCACCTCTGATCTTTATGCCTCTTGTGGTGTCTTATCGGTCAGGCAACTGTACATTTTTTGCACTACCTTAAGATTGCACAAGTCTCTTAAATATGATGGTCGCAAACTGAGCAAAAGACGCAAATATACTGTTGCTCCTGTTGAGAGATCTAAATCAGTTTTTGCTATGAGACAATTTCAATGCCAAGCTGCTAAACTTTATAATAAATTAAATAAAATATTAAATATATACACATTGAATAAACATGAATGTAAAACGTCGCTACTTAACATCCTAGAAACATTTAGCTATGAAGACACTGAAGCCTTTGTAGGTAATCATGAATCATAATACACTAGTAATTAGTCAACTTCTACAATCAGTCATGAAAATTCATTCTCATAAACACACAAACACACACACACACATACACATACACACATATATCATTATTCACATTTTAACCTTAGATTATGTTTAGTAAATTGTAAAATTGTAATACTTAGCTTAGCTATACGTGTTAAATTAAATTATAATTAGTTGGTACACCTATGTAATGGAAGAGCGGGTTCTCCTAACACAAGTGCTTATGCGCTTAAAAGGAGGTCCCAATCACTTATCAGCTATTGTAAAATCTTTGAGATAACGAATAAAATAAAATAAATAAAATAAATAAATAAACTTGTTTAACCGAAAATTAAACCCGGGATTTAATAAAACGATACCGTTCCTGACGTTTTTGTATGCCATATTGACACGGGAAATATGTTTTGGTAAGCGCGGTACATAAACTCATTATTGATAAAGCCGTATCGCTACTGGAAGATGCATAGTAAGGGAGTTGTGTAGTCTAGATATAATTGATCTTATTAACAAACATGGAAACAAATAAATATATATGCACAAATAAAATAAATATGTGAGCAGTGTATCTACATAATAATATTTTATTTTAGTATAGTAGTCTTTTTTGTTCTGGGTATATGGTACATGGTACACTTTTTAATCAATGTGTACAAAATATTGCAAAAGATATTTTAAAAGAGTAAGTATAGAGTATCTTGCCCATTTTGGAAGGGGCAACTAGTCATTTTTTTTAAATATTTTTAACTTGAACTTTTCAAAAGTGCCTTTTAATATGCCTAATTGAAATAAATGATTTGACACGAATTTTTGATTTGAGGTCAAAATTATTTATTTATTTACACAAATACATACAGTTAAATTAAAGTAAAATTAAATTACAATGAGTATACAGTATATTAATTATGTAATTACTTAAATAAGTTATATGCAACACGACTAGGGAATGCAATCCCCATTTAACTATTCCAAGTCTTATTTAAATTAAATTTTCAATCTCGTCTCGTCATATTTCGCTTCGCGATTGATCTCGAAAAATGCCACGAGATCACGCGGGATTGTAATTCGCAATCCCACGAGATTCCCTCAACACCACTTGTATTGCACCCCAAATGTATGCTACAATTCTTTTAATAAATTGTGTTTTTCTTCAGGCAACAGACACGCAACGGAAATAGCTAGTATGGCTTTAGAATTACTTGAAGCAACGTCAATGTGTAGACTTCCTCACCGCCCTGATCAGGTAACTTAGGTAATAAATGTTGTTGCTTTTGCTAATCAAAATTAACTTGTGCTTTACTGCTCTTGTACTGTACTGAGTTGTAATTACAAATAGTTATTATGATGTTTAAAGTTTATAAATAACAAATTTAACTAACGGTGAAATGTATATATGTTGCATGTACAACGAATATTTAAATATTCTTTATGCTCCCATTTTTGTATAATTTGGCATGTTGTAGGATGTATGAAGAGAAGTGTGTGTGTGTAGTGTGTACTGGCTAGTTGGCTTGAGCGGTGAAGGAAAACGTTGTGAGGAAACCAGCTTGCCTCAGACCCAGAAAGTCAACGGCGTGTGTCAGGCACAGGCTGATCACCTACTTGCTTATATTGACAAATGATCATGAAAAAGATACAGAAATCTGAGGCCCAGACCTTAAAAGGTTGTAAAGACTTCCTGCCTCGTTTCAATACCGTACGAGCCGTATTAATTCAAATTTTCATCAGCATCACCTTGATGGCTGGAAGTCTTCACGTTCTTTTGTGAACTGGCTAACAGTGGAGTCTTCCCTCAGATATACTACCTCCGATTCTTTAACGAAAGACTACGTTATACTCCTACCTTAAAGGCCGGACACGCACCCACTAAAATGAGTGTCCATGCGCTACGATGACTGCAAAAAAACTTACATAAGATAAATGACGACTCATTGGTCTAGTGGTTAGTACCCCTGACTGCGAAACCATGGGTCCCGGGTTCGATCCCCGGCTGAGACGAACATCGATGTGATGAGCATTTGATGTTGTGCTTAGGTCTTGGGTGTTTAAATATGTATTTATATGTCTTTCTATGTATAATATGTATGTATATCCGTTGCCTAGTACCCATAACACAAGCTTCACCAGCTAAGCATGGGACTACGTCAATTGGTGTAAATTGTCTTAAAAAAAAAAAAAAATACATAAAAAAAAGGAATAAGAAAAGAAACTAGGAATTAAATTCTAAAAAGTTTAATCATTTTTCAGATGTTGTGTATGAGAAGTGGGATCCATACGGGTCCATGCGTCGCGGGTATCGTCGGGACCAAGATGCCAAGATATTGCCTGTTTGGGGACACCATCAACACTGCCAGCCGTATGGAAAGTACTGGCGAACGTGAGTAAAATTTATAATATAATAACTGCTAAGGGCGAATGTTCGCATATTTAAAGCAGCAGTAGGGTCACTCTGGATCATTTACCGCATTAACCATGGAGAGTGTTCAGAGGAGTTGTTCGGATTAATACCTGCAAGCTGAGTTTTATCATCGGACGTCAAGGCCAAATACAAAATATTATCCGTATCACCTTGACGTCCATCGTTCCACAACTGAGCTTTTTTAAGGCAATTTCTGCCGCCCACCACCACTTTCTGGACCTATCCAACCAATCCTCTCCACCAACTTTCTTAAGCTCGTCGTCCCACCGTGCGAGAGGGCGACCACGCTTTCTTTTTCCTGGTGGCCCTTTCCACTTTGTTACCCTCTTTGTCCATCTGCCATTGTTCATTCGAGCGGTATAGCCCGCCCATTTCCACTTAAGTTTTTTGCAATAGGATAGTGCATCAATAACCTTTGTTTTGTTTCTTATTTGTGTACTTCTGATCTTGTCCTTCAGTTTTAAATTGAGTATACTGCGTTCCATTCCTCGTTGACAAGTTGTTATTTTTCTATTTGTGTTCGAGTCATATATCCATGTTTGGCAACCGTAAGAAAGACATAGCAATATACACGTGTCTAAGACTTTCTTTTTTAAGTATATTGGTATGTCTGCCTTCAGTACTTCTTTGTATCCCCAGAATTTGTTCCATGAGATCCTAGTTCTCCTATCAACTTCGTCATGATGCCGTGAATTTTTAAAAGATATTTCCTTACCCAAATAGATGTATTGTTGCACGTATTCTAAGGTGTGTCCATTAATTTGGAAAGGATCTTGTAGGTGATTTGTCATTATTTTTGTTTTGTTTTTATTTAATTCCAATCCTATTGCTCGGCTAATAGAACAGAGTTCGTTTATCATTTCCTCTAATTGTAGTGATGTTTCTGAGAATAAAACAATGTCATCAGCAAATCTTAAGTTGTTTAAGTAATTACCATCACTAATTATACCTTTATGTGTCCAATTAAGCTTTTGCATTATGCTTTGAAGTACTGTTATAAATATGGCCGGAGAAAGTGGGTCACCTTGTCTAACCCCTCTTTTAATTTTAATTTTTTTTTAAAGACAAATAATGTTGAAAATGTTTTGAAGTTATACTTCTATTGGTGCGTTAGGGAAAGATGATGATAGTAAATTTTTACGATGCGCGCGCACACCGTAAAAAAAACCGCCAACCACACACCGTCATAAAAACCGACACCCTGAAGTTAGCATAGTCAACATTTTAAAGTACATTTCTTTAATTATGTAGAAATTTTTTTTTGTGATATTTAAATAAACTTTATTTATTATAATGCGTTATAATAAAACTTTCAATTTCTTAAATCGTTCTATTGTTTCTGTCGTTTTTTCTACAAACGTATAATAAGGCGCAAGATAAAAAATTTAAAAAGATTTTTATCTTCTTACGACAAAGAAGTATAACTTCTAACGCGTGTACATAAGTACACACATGTTTTTCTTATTTTTATGTACCAGGAGGCAAAGAGGCATGAGGCTCATCTGATGTTAAAGCTCACCGCTCACCCATGGACACTCACATTGCCAGAAGGCTCGCAAGTGCGTTGCCGGTCTTTTAAGAATTGGTAGGCTCTATTGAAAAACCCTTAATCGAATTGGTTCGGTGGGCAGCTGGTTTTACATAGCGTTAGTGCGCGGCCAAAAATAATTATTTTAATATATTATGACTTGATTCTTCTGAACTTGGCAACTAAAGATCATTGAAGCTCTCTAAGTCTGTTGATGTAATGTTACAGCAATGAAGATACAGATATCGGAAGACGTGAAACGTGCTTTGGACAGAACCGGACTTTTTGTAACCAGCCCCAGAGGAATGATAGACGTTAAGGTAATGGTATTTAAGCAACGAATAAATAACTACATTTAGTTTCTCATTTAGTCTTGTCAAGTGATAAGTTTATTCAATTCGCCAAATTAAACCACTACGCAATGAGGATAGTCATGGATTTTTCCATTATATATATTGTATTAGGAAATATGTATGTTAATTACAATTTTAGATGCACCCAGTTATATTTTCACTAACACGTTTCCCAGCGGGCTGAGTAGTCATGCGGTGACAGGTAAAACAATTGCAGTAACGTCAGTAACAATTTGACGCATCAAACCATAAGAGTTTATTAATTTTGTAAAATTTAACAATAAATAGCTGTTTCATGATGAGTTTTTTCAAACTCAGGCTGTGTATTTCATTTATAGACCAAACTTTAGAGCTAAAGTCCGCTTTCAATAAATAATTCCTAACAATACATGTCATGTTATCATAGGTTAATAGTAACAGAAATAAGAAACATAAGTTTGAAACTTAATATCCTCTAAATATCTGTTAAATACCGCGTCAATGATGGTCGCATATTTTGTTGTGGATACTTGTGGATAATTTATTTTAAAACTATTTTCTTTAATTTACCATCAAGTATACAGTCTGTTCTGTCTTAACCTACAAAGTAATAATAAAAATTATAAAAAAAACCAAACAAATTTAAAAAGTTTGGTCCCTGTGGCAGGGTCCCGCTGGCAGCATTTCCTCGCTGTATTGCTATACTTATTCGTTGAGCCAGGAAAGTACCAGCTCAGGTCATCGGTACTATCTAACAGGCGCCAACTTAAATCTTTGATAAGCGCTTGTGCACTTGAACCCCACGGCCCAAGAGTTTCAACTCCAAAGGGATCAAAATAGAATAATAATAATAATTCCTTAAGTTTTTTCAAAGTCGTAATTTACCAGACAATAAAGAACTAGAATACGGCTTAAAACTCATTTCATAAATTAATCATGTATCGTATACCTTCAGATTATAACACAAATTACCAGCAAACAGATATATTTAATGTAACTAAAACATGTTTAAAAATAATTTAAAAAAACTTAAATAATTTAAAAATTCTTCCTTTGTATTATTATTATAATGAACAATGAATCTTAGAACTTAGAATTTATTATAAATACATATATTCTTTGTATATTTTTTTGTATTTGTATAGGCGAAACTGTGCTTTGTGTATGTTTAAATGTGTATTCCGTTTTTGGCTATTGTGTACAGTGTAATTGTTTGAATATTGTTTAATAAGTAGCTGTGGAATACCGTTGAGCAAATAAATGAATAAAATAAGCTTATTTTTTCAGGGTAAAGGCGAAATGATGACTCACTGGTTGGAAGGACGAACGGGGCCTTCGCCAGCCCGTCCGACAGCAGCCCTGGACTGCACACCCAGCTTCCTCACCCGGATCCACTCCCATGGGCGAGCCTCGCCACGCTACCAGCCTGACATACGATCTTAAATATTATGATGATTAAATAAAATATTGCTTTAAAGTTATTCAATTAATACTTAGGTGGAATCTACAACTAATTCTTATGATGAAATCCAATTTCTCAATACAAAAATCAATATTGAAATCGAAATCGCTTTCGAAGTGTCAGTGAAGCCTGCTCGCTTTACCGTATTGCGCAAATAAAGAATATATTTAAAAAATCAAATATTTTTGTCTAGGAGATGTGAGTTTTAACATAAAATATGTTATATATCTAATATTATTAGTTTAACTAGTATAAGTTTATACTATGCAACGCCAATGAAAAATATACAGCTTTCGCCTTCGTGATAAAACTATTATTTGAGTGTGCTTCAGTATAAAGATTAATAAATAATAATGAATGGCGCTTTTAAGGTCTGGGCCTCAGATTTCTGTATCTGTTTCATAATAATTGGGTAATCTAATAGGCAAGTAGGTGCCTTCTGTGCCTGACGCACGCCGTTGACTTTTTGGGTCTAAGGCGCTTGCCTTCCTCACGATGTTTTCTTTCACCGTTCGAGCGAATGTTAAATGCGCACATAGAAAGAAAGTCCATTGGTGCACAGCCGGGGATCGAACCTACGACCTCAGGGATGAAAGTCGCACGTTGAAGCCACTAGGCCAACACTGCTGCATGTTAAAGTTTAAGAAATTACAAATTAATATAAAAATGTTTTAGTAAGGACATAACCATCCTGTTTTAATAATATTATAATTAATAGCAAATGATGTTGTCCTTTTAATTTGAACGACCCAACATATATTAATATCTTGAATGTAATATAACCCTACGTGTATTAAAGAATGGTTTTATGATGCAACTGCAAAAATAATTTTTTTTAATACAAATGTTTTGATTAAACATTGAAAATCTGAGATGAATATGGTATCATATAAGTTATATTATAAAATATAAGTACTTGATGTGACAACAGCGTTTTTTTCTTGAAACCCTAATTAAAATATTATTTAAAGTACTACAGACCGGTAGTCCTGGGTTCGATGTCTGATGAATGAAACATATGACTAAGACGTGTCGGTTTTCTCACGATGTTACCTTTCGTATGAGAAAATTTTATTGGATATGTTGGTAGAAAATCTGTACATTACCTGTCCACATCGTATCCCTAACTTTAATAATACCTACTAACTGACGTGAGACTGATCTTAAATGAAATTATAATGATTCATGTGCACTTTTTATTATTAGGTTTTTTTTTTCATGTGTCCTTTATTAGTTTGTTTTTTGTTCCTGTTTAGTTTATTTTTCTCAACAACTATGTGTAATACATGTATTTTTGCACTTCTTGTCTACCTTATGTAATTAAATACTTTTTTTTTTCTTTAAATAAAATCTATTGATAGCCGGGATTCGACCACCTTTAAAAGAAGTTATTATACATAAGTGGATTATACCTTCTCTGTCTAAATATTTTGACATTATTGATTTAAGTAGAAACATTTTTCATAAATTTTTCAGTCGATGACGCAATGAATGAATAAAACTTTAAACATGATTCATATATGACGAATTGTAATGAAAATTAATATTAGTCTCATTGCGTCAATTTGAATGAATCTCCAATGTTTTTCCATTTTGCTATATAAAGAACTACGTCTAAGAACCTCAACTAAGAAGAACCGTCTCGGCCAAGCAGGTCTTTTTATATGTTAGATCTAAGTACAACCTATGTTTATCAGGCATAACGTAGCGTTCTAAGAGTGAAAAAAATTTAAAATAGTCTAATAGTTTATTTTATTTTATCGTCATCGTTGCATTTATCATCACACGCATACATATTATATACTTATTCAGTAAACCATTCAAAGTAAAAATCATTTATTCATAGAGGTAACACAATATTATTCATATAGGTACACTTATGAACGTCAAAAAAGAAATACTTATTGAATGCTTCTAATTTTACATTTGCTGCCAGTTCTCAAATCAAAGGCGTAGAACGGAAGAGAAGAATTGGCAATAACCTCTCCGCCACTGTGTGCCCAAACGAGACTGTGTGCCCAAAAAGGGCAGCTATCGCAGCTAAAGAGTTGGAGGTCGTATCTCCCAAGGACTACCCCCACCGCTAGTGGATTCCACAGTTTGCTTGTTCGCAAAAGAATATGTCTTGTGAAGCGGACGGTGGAAGACTTCCAGTTTCAACGAAGGCCAGTCACCGATTAAAAGACACTAATTTCTCAGGAATTTAAAAGAATGTGAAAGACGATGCGGATTTACAACTGTGCCAATGTCAATCTCTGGGCCTCCCCGACCTTGACGCGCGATGAATTCCAAATTTAAATATGACTCCCACGCACATGAATAACAGTAATTGACCTTTAAGTATTTTCTATGAAACCATAATATTATTAAATGTGACATAATATTAATAAGGGTCTGTTTCATAATGTATGGATAAAGTACCAAATAGCTATGCAACGCATAAATTATTTGGAAGATAAATGTCACTCCATCGGACTCATAACTTATGATGGACTTTATGTGACGAATAGCGCTATCTGACAGTGAAACGCAACAATTGTGTTTATCCTACCAATAAGTAATTAATAGCTACTTTGGAACTTATGTAGAACTTATCCGTACATTGTGAAACAGATTCTAAATGTGACAAAACTTTCCTAACTAGGTTCATTTTGGTAGGAGAAAACAAAGTGATAAATGAAACATTAGAATTATAATTTTTTTTCAACCCTTGCCGAGGGTGCACGAAAACTTTTACACAGTGTATTTATATCATCAAAAATGCATGCGATTGAGATTTAAAAATTAATAAATTTTGACTGGACTTATTTGGTCTCCTGTGGACACTTAAGAGTACCTTTACGATATTTTGTTCAAACAAAAGAAAAGGTTTTCTATTTGTTGGGTTGTAGCATCTTATGGCTTAAGTATGTCTCTGTCGGAATAATTGAATCTCTAGAGTCTAGACATAATAATAATAAAACTTTATTCATGACAAATGGTTGAGACAAAATAGATCTAACGCTAATCCCCTCACTAGGTAGCCCCTGTGTTGTAGTTAACTAGATTATATTTTATCCGTGGTTCATGGTGAATGTTTTAAATATATTTTTTTGGCTACCTCTAATCAAACAAAAGTCGTACAAGACCGTGACTTCGAGAACGTGTTTTCTTATTATAATTATGTTAAGACGTTTTGAACTTGTGAATTGCGACCTTTCCCGTAATCAAAATGAATAATGTAAAGGGAGGAACGAACTTGCTGAGTTTCTTGCCAAATGAACGGATGGCGTAAATTTAACTTGCATAAGTGTAAAAAGTGCAACTCAAAACTTGGCGATTAAAAAGAGTGGCGGAGAGTTTCTTGCCAGTTCTTCTCTTCCGTTCTACGCCCTTGATTTGAGAACTGGCAGTAAATGTAAAATTAGATTTATTTTTTTGACGTTCATTAGTGTACATTGCGCTACCTATATAAATAAATGATTTTACCTTTTGACTTTTGATATGAATAAAGTTGTTTTGAGTGAATATGCATTTGCGTAACATTTATATTTTTATTAATATTTTTATATAAAAACCTGTTGACCTTTAAATAGTAATAAAAATGTATCGACCAACGCCTTCATTTCGCTCAAAAAACCCGAAGTTTTTTTGTTTTTAAGTAAGATTTAAGCAGACACTATATAATTATTAATACGTCATGTGACGCTTTGTACAACTAACTTATACGTCATATTAAGGAAAACAAGGAGTATTACGTTCAACGACAGATAATTATTTAGTTATCTTTGTTGTCCTTGTATTAATTAATATATATATTGTCTTCGTATTTTCGTTTAATAGTAGAGCACAACTTCCTTCACTCTCCCCTGTCTCCAGGAATCCCTCCACGGTAAGACCTGTAAAGTTTTACTTGGTTAGTCCTGCGAGTAGAGTGTCTGGTGTCAGCACAAGAAGTTTTTATACATTTTCTGGACCAAAAAAAATTGATGTAACAAAGTGTTGAATGACTAGTTTTTACATTTAACCGTCTTAGTATAATTTATCAATAAATATTATTTCGAGGGTAATGAGAGTTTAAGAAGGAAATAGACACAATATTAAATATATATTAAATATTAAAAATATTATTATTATAAAAAACCGGCAACGCACTTGCGAGCCGTCTGGCAATGTGAGTGCATGGATATCAGTAAACATCAGATGAGCCCCTGCCCGTTTACAAGTTTGATACACAAACTCATGAATAAAAAAAAACTTAAATTATATTTTTTATTTTATATTAAATGGTTCGCTTAAATATTATTACTCGGTATATCATTCTAAATTTAGCGTTAATTAATTCAGTGTTTTCAAATAATCAGCGTCCATGATGGCATTGGTTTTTGCAATGATTATAATCACAAAACTGGAATGGCTGTTAGTAACAAATTATAGAATACATAACTTGACGTGCATGCAAATATAATTTGTTCGGTAAAACCGAGCACCGTTGGGAGATAAACCCACGTGATAAACTGGTTTAAGGAAAACGTGTATAATATGAAGTATAATGATTGGCTCGATATGCCAAAATTAGAACGAGTGAAGTGTCACTTGCAGCGGTTAAGAGTTGGATGAGTTGATATCGATTATTTATTATTCAACCCTCGAGATCTGCTTTTGTTTAACACTTATAAGTCTAAAGTTACATTTCAAACATTCATTTTGATTTTTCCTGAGCCGTAAATTAAGACAGGTCTATTATATTTTTTCGTTATAAATAATATTCGATTCGCCGACACATAATTTTTATCAAAAACGTGTTATCATCAAATTTTTCGGTGTCATAATACTAAGTAAGAGTTAAATTAATTAAATAATATAATTCCAATGAGATGACTTTCAATGATTCAATTTCAGGGAAATACTGATGTCGTAAAAACGTATGCGCGTGCCGCGCACGCGTACTTTAGTTACGGTTTTTCCCAACTATGACTTAAGCCGGCATTTAAATGATCGT